TCTTTGTTCCCCCGCCCCACCTTTTGTCTTCAAATCAGACCTTCAAAATATCGTCGAACAGGCTACACGCTAAGGTCGTGTCCGCCTCAGGACTGACATGTCTCATTTGTTCACTGGCTGTCCAAACAAAATCGCTTTCCCAAGGCACAACGGCTCTGCATTCAGAACTGTGTATCCTTTTGGAGTTTCCTGCGTCAAGGTCGTCCCTCCACGTTCAGCCTCGTGTAGTCTCCTCCGCCTCCGCACGTCGAGTCTGAGGTTCGAATCCGTGCGACATCAGAACGACCAGAAATGCAGACGTTTCGCCATGGCTTCGTCGCGGGATGAAGCGGCGATGAAGCCGTGGAGGATCGGATCCGCCGGACGTGATGATGGGGAGCCCCTGGTGATGGGGATCAAGGGGGTGTGTTCCACAGCCCCTGGCGTCCAGAGGTGTCCATAGGCGTCCATAGGTGTGAAAAAAGGCACCCCAAGCAACGTTTGGCGCTCTGGTTAGGTTTTCCTTCCTTTTTTTTTGGAAACAGGCCAAAAAAATCCAAGTCTTCAGGTCGGACACTTCTTCGATGCCGAACGCAGATTGGACACCGAAGACGTCGGTGAACGAGTGTCGACTTGACATGATTGTGGAGGCTTGGGGGTTCAATGGGTTCAATGAGTATAGGCACATATATATATATACACAGTAATGTCGACGTCGGATTAATCAACGGGCCCCCCCCTCCCCCCCCCCCTAGAAGGTCAACAAGGTCAACAAGGTCTGAGATTGGAGGTTTTGGAGATCACATCCCCCTAATAGTGGGGATGACCTGATGATGAAAGGGAATTAGTATTTGGAAGAATTGAGATGAAAGGGAATTAGTATTTGGAAGAATTGGAATGAAAGGGAATTAGTATTTGGAAGAATTGGAATGAAAGGGAATTAGTATTTGGAAACTAATTAAACACACATATATATATTTAAATAAATATATTTTTCCTGGGGGGACAGAGGGTAGACTAATAGGGGGGGGGTTCAGCCAAGCAAAATTTTTATTAGAGGGTGGTGACTGTGGAAATTCATAGTTCAAATTAGTTTATTATTGGGGCCTGAACGCTGGGTAGACTAATAGGGGGGGTTGCCTAATCCTATGTTGACATTATGTATTATTGCATTATGTTATACTATATATATATACTGTATAATATACCAACGTGGAGTGTCTGGGTGATCTTACAAAGGCTTTGCGAATCAAGACTCTAAGCTTCTGATCAATTCGATGTCCAGAACATATCACGTTGGAACTGGTAGACTCTGACCATGAGTCATGTGATCCAATTCCGTTGAACCAACCAAACCTGGAGCATGCATTCGGGGTCGGACATATGGCATGGCTGTCCCTCTGCTACTGGGTGGGTGGACATGGTATGGCTGGTACCAGTAGACCGAGGAGATTCGCTTCCCATGGACAATCTCATCGAACGTTGGTGGTTTCAACTCACGGAAAATCGATTCGTCGGCTAATTACCATCATCCCAAGCAATGGTTGAACATGGTTGAACCTAGAAATATCTGGAACAACCGCCCAGTCATCCATCGCCATTGACGCCACAGCTTCCCCGGATACCCGTCGTCCTGAGCTGCTGGTTCCAGCGCCGGAAGCAGCGGAGCTCGAGGAGGGAGACGGACTGCCTGGCTGGTGTTTCCAGCTGGTGGCATTGTGAGCATCGGATTGTCTGTCCACGTTCAGCTGTGGTTTTTTTAGTGGCAGTTGATTGGGTGTTTGACATGTAGAAGAATCTTGTGTATATCAATGGATGATGATATGGAAACAGAGTTTGAGCACAAAAAAATTAAAAGAAGAAGCCAGGCCGATATGTTGTCAATGGCCCACAAAGCGTGGATTGTTTCAACATGCAAGAAACCTGGCGACAACAGGATCCAACCAAGTTCTAACGGACTGTATATAAGTGCTTTATGGAAAACCTTGCAAATCCCATCATCTGCCTTGCATCTCCGTTTCCTTGCAAACCCTTTTGAGAACCTGCTAGAACCTGCTTTTTGGATCGGGGGCCAATACCCAAAAAACCCACACCTTCATCAAACCGCATCACTCATCCACCTCGCCCGCCTCGTAACGAGACCACCGGGCTGTGGAGCTGTGGACTCGTCCATGCCAAGGCCTCGTCCGGATGAATCACTGGCCGTTTAACGGATGAATCGAATCACCAACCGCACGGACCAATGGATTGGAATCGAATCCCTCTTTTTTTTCTACCCCACTTGCCTTCCCATCCGAACGAATCCCCTTGTGGGATGGGTAAGACGACACCGACTAGGTCATCCATGGGCGTTGGGAGACCAAACATGGGCGTTGGGAGACCAAACCACGGGGAGGTTCACATCTGACTGGTTACCCATCTGACTGGTTTGGTCATCCGCGGACCGGTGGTTTTCGGGTGGTTTTCGATGGAAAAAGATTCACTGGCACAGCTTGAGGGTGGCATCATGTCATGTCAAGTCGCTTGAGTGCAGAAGGTTGTTGACATGCGGTTTCTGTATACTCCCGTGACAGATCTACTGGTGCCCAAGTCAAGAGCCAATGATGTTCAATCAAGAGAACTTAAGAAAACATGGGGGGTTCTCTCTGGGGATCATCACATACCACCATCCTGGGCCGCATTCCGAAAGGCCGCTTCGCTCTCAGTGAATGCTGGATGTCTCTGGAATCGTTGAGCTGTGGAGGTTCCGATCTGTTGTGAGTCTAAGAGCCAGCACCTTCCAGGTCTCCGAAATGGAGGGCTGGGAAGGGCCCTAACAGGTTTCAATGGGTGACCTGTTGGAGGTGCTGGAGGATGTTTGTTGCACGAGCTGTGGAGGTATCGAGTACAGGGTTTGACAGGTGACAGGGTGACAAATGAGTGTGTGCTTCAAATGTGGGAGACACCCTGGCCCAATGGTTTTGGAATGTTTTTTGGTCTATGGTCAATCTGTGTTCATTCTTCCAGGGAGGTGTTGCCGTTGGGGAGGTCGCCCGATTTAAATACACACCCAGATTCAGATGAGTGCAGCATTCTACAGCATTCTACAGCTCACCCTGAGTCCGCTGCTGCTGTTGATTTCGTGTCCCGTGTCTGTCTCGCCGAGGGACCCCAGTGATCAAGGTGCTCGCTGCAGCAGCAGTGGCCATGCGGGTCAAGTTGCTTACCTCCCAAAAAACCACCGGTCTGGTCAAAGCGGAGAGAAACATGAACATCGAACATCCTCCAAACTGACATGCAAACTCTACGACTCTACAACTGCTGGAAGAAGATTTGTCTCTACAAAGCACGGGTTTTCATGGTCCAAGAGTGTCCGCACCAAGGAATTGACTGCAGAGCGATTCTGGTCTTCACTCGCCGAGTCAGTTCTTACAAGTCGCTTTCTTCAGCAAATGATCGTTATGGATCTTCACAAAAAAAACCATTTGCTTCCCCAGTACAGGGTGTCATGCACCTTATGTACCCATGTACCCTCGACAATCAAAGGGGACCCTTATGTACCCCGGCTCTCCGACAGCAACGAACCCTGAAAAGCAACACTGTGACTCAGTCAACAGTTTGTAGGACACCAATCCAACATGAGCCAACGGTGTTGTACGGTGTTTCTTGCTGAAGCGTTTGCTGTGAACCAAACACGTCAATTCTGCAACTGCCCCTTCTGCTTGCAATATAGGATGCAGAATCGCTCGAGCCAGCAGGATGCTCAAGCTCAAGCCCCGTGCCTCTCTGTGAGAGTCCCCCATGGTAGCGGCCTGAGGATCGGGGTTTTGTTGCCATCCAATGGAGCACTCCAGAGAAACTCCTATTGATGCACCTGAAAATGCCTGAGTTCCCTAGCTCTGTCATGGGTGTCCAATTCGTGGACCAATGGAGATCAGTCCTTGTTCTGTTTTGTGGGTTTTAAGCATTATAAGGGATACGGGTACCACATCCCAAAGACCCCTTTTTTTCGCTCCGCGACGCCCGCCTGGCCGCGTTCGCTGCGCGTGCGTAAGGAAAACTGCTTGGGCAAAAATGCGTCTGACAACCGAGCCTCCTGGGGAGATGAGCAAAACCCCACCACAATGTATTTGCCACGTCGGGGCACGAAAAAAGAAGCAACCCAAGTGCTCCGACGTGTCAGACGGGCAGCGAATCAGCTTTTGCATTCGGCGTCGGACAGCGCTCTTTGGACTATGTACACTGCTCTCTCCTCGTGGTTTTACACACTCGTCGGCGTGGTGGTTTTCCGTACCGTGAAAACGAGAGCTTGAGAGAGCTTGAAGGTCCATTCGAGCAATTGGCAAGCTAATACAGGCTTGCACTCGCACATGCATTGATGTGTGGTCAAGCATCGTGAGATTTGGTGAGACTCAGAACTGAGCGTTCAGTCTAATCGGAAACTCTTGAAGCTCTCCTTTAAGGTTGCTTTAGAGGAAACACCTCAGTTTCATGTCGTACCATACGGCTGTGGGTCAAAACACACCTCGAGCCTGATTGATCCATCCTGGAAGTCGGTTGCTTCACCTCCCCCGTTTTTTCGTCGAATTGGTTCAACCCAGTTCCTCCGTGTCTGAACCCCATCGCCGAAAGCGACCGGTCGTCCAGGTCGCATCGACGCCAAACGGATGAGTTTAAGGATCCAAATCGGACCACGGGACCATGAGCATAGCTGGCTTCTGAATGTTCCCAAGCAAACTTGCCCCAGTTGCTTGTAAGTTAACCATTTCCAACTAGCTACATCTAGCTACAGGAGACAAAGGTCACCACTTTCGGTTGAACATTCTGTCCATATTTGCTGTGGGTCAAAAGAAGGGAACCCTGGGATTTTCCGATCATGAAACGAATTAGACTACTAAACATGGTCAACCTACCAGGGGTCTCCAGGGTGTTGATCCTGTCTATTTGCCCCTGCCGGTGTTGAACCTCAGGGTCTTCTTGTGGCCAATTGCGCCACAAGAACCCTCAGCCTTCGATCACTGAACCCTCAGCCTCACCGGATCTCATCGGCGTTTGGGCAGCTGTGGCAAGGGTGTAGCTCCATCCCTGGACGCGTTTACCACGCGCCGGAGACATCGGAGATAGAAATCCAAACGAATTCGCGGTACGAGAACCGCTGTGCGAAAGACCCACCCGAGGATGGCGGGCGAAGCTTTTTGGATGAATTTTGGATGAATAAATGTTTTCGGCCGGGACGAGTGGAGTGGAGACCGGTCCAATGGAGAACGGACTGAGTGCGATTCAGGGGGGAAAGGCAGGCGGACCTGCGAGTCGTCGGAAAGCCCAAAGTCTGCGAGTCTTTCAAGATCAAAATAATGATCACTTCACATTGCCGGATTGAGTATGAAATGGTATTAAACATCCGTGAAACATCCTCTGTGAACGTTGAATCTGTTGAATCGTTCTGCTGTGCCAGTTCCGCTCCGATCTGTGACCGCCTACCCCCGCGTGACCGCCGACCTCTCGTGGCCAGGGTTCTTGGAGGCGTTCCGCGGGCGACGGAAGCCTTTCTCCTGGGCACCAGTTCGGGAAGGAAGAAGCCTTTCTCGTCCCAAAAGCTAGTGTTTCCCGCCTGGTCTGGACATCTCTGGATGAACAGCTGAACACATTGAAAGGTAAATGATGAACAGTCCCACTGCGGAGGGCCCACTGCGGTCGAAGAGTTCCAATGAGTTCTTCAGAGATTTGGGTCGAAATATGTCGAAAGCAACCCCCGAAGCTTTTGACCAACTCGCGAAGGACTGGACAGACAATTCCCCATCCGGCCTGAAGCTGTTCAAAGTTTAAAAAGAATTAAAAAAAACGTGACCTCTATGGAGGTGACTAGACCTCACTAGGCCTGGAGTGCAGACTTCTTTCAGATCTTTCAGCTGCGACCTCACTTGACCAAGACTCATTTGACCACTTCGGTTGGGAAGCACATGGACACACACGTCGTGTACCACCGGATCCCTGAACCGGATCCCTAAGACCCTCCGAGATCTTCTCCGAAACATGGTGTAAGTGTTAAGTGATGTTAAGTGGTGTCTCTTGGTCTCCCCATCTGCTTGGTTCAAACGGTGTGAACATCGCCGGGTGAACAAACCGTGGGAAAGCTTGACCGATGGCTCAAGGAGGAGGGACATCAGGCCGCAACACAAACCAGTGGCTCTTTTTTCAACAGGTTTGTCTGCTATATAAGAGTTGATCTCTTACTCTACGGTGCTACAGAAGTCAAACCTTTTTAACTTTCTGCCTCAAGGCCCTTTCAGATTTGGTCAAACTCTAATGGACCAAAATGCGATTAGCCACCAAATCCACAGTGTTTCGTCCAAAAGCTGTTGTGGCGCAAGCTCTAATCTTAACCCTGTAGAAATTGCATTCCCACCCAACTAACCCAGCTCCTCCCCAAACGATGTATGTAAGTTACCATAGGAAGAACTGCCAAGAGGAGAAAGATTGAGAACGGATGAAGGTCCCCCACTTTTGGACAATCTGGCTGAGGCATGGCTAAACCAGATGTTATTTGCAGGCATGGACAAAAGAAAGAAACACGTTTCCCCTTTCCTGCCCCCCTTGTTGCTTAAACAAGAAAAGGCACGAACGAACCGAGAGCCCAGCCAACCAACGCAAGAAACCAACAAACGCCGACCCCCAACTCAAGCCTAACTCACCCAAACCACCCCAAACCTCATGGACTCTGCCTGAACAAATCCAACCAACCCAAGAAACTGATCATGTATTTGCTTAACGAATCCAGAAAAACTGTAGATATTCCCGAGGGGGATGAACAGCCATGGGGGGGAAACAAAGAATCACCCAATCCGCCAACCCAGGTCATGCTCCAATCCACCAAACCGTTGTGCTTCGACCCTTCGCTCACACCCGGCAGCCTGTCCCACAGCGGCGGCCACCTCCATCGCCGCGGCCGCGGCCTTCGCCTCGCTACGGGAGAGAGAACGTCCCAGAACCTTCGTTTGAACATGTAGACCTTAGGAAGACATTGTGTGACATGGTTTTGAACGGTAGAACACTCTGGCCCCATGGATTCTCATTGAAGTTTCTCAGGCTACCTTTCCCCAAACCCATGGGCCCTGCAGCTTGAGATCGAAGCCAGACCCCTTAGCATCGAAGCTGCTGAGATCAGACGGGGGACAGCTAGTCATACTGAGTCCTTTCATGACCAGTGTTGTTAGCTAACAAAAGAATGTAGACTTTTGATTAATAACCCCACCCCCAGACATGGGATGACATGGGTTGCAAAACCTCCATCATTTGGGTTGAAATATAAACCTTTTAACGCTGTGACCGTTCCGTTTGGGTATCACGTCCACCATGTGATCTATCAAGACCCGCCCACAGCAACGCTCGGTTCGAAAAGGCGTGTCGGTCGCGACGTGTGTTCGTTGGAGGTTGACCAGTTGAATAGCAGGGATTTGGTGGGAAAAAAGGACAGCTCTGGAGGAGGAGGAAGAGGAGGAGGAGGAGGAGGAGGTGGTGGTGGTGGTGGTGATACTGGGATATTCCGTGACCTCGGAGAATTTTGCAGGTAGTGCTACAAGTACGTAGGCCTGAGTCCATCCGCAGGCCTCCCCTGTCTAAACGCACTTCCGACCCGTCGCCGGGAGGAGTCTACGATCCAAAAACCTCGTACGCCTGGCCAAATGGTTTTAACATGAGAGAACGACGGAAAGAGGGAGGGAGAGAGGGAGGGGGGAGAGAGACAGAGAGAGACAGAGAGAGAGAGAGAGAGCAGGAAGATGCAAAACCAAACCACTCTGCTATGAAGCCAGACTGCAAATCCCAAAAGCGGTCTTTTGGTCAGTATACCTGGATGTTCCACTCGATATATTCCACCCTGTCACAGTGACGAATTCTTCTCTCCCCCACCGTGACGAACCCTGCCATCCTCCGAAGCTCCAGTGAAGACACCCGAGAAAGGGCTCCACCCCAAGGCGTCAGTGCTGCCGGCCGCGCCCAACCCCGGCCTGCTGACTGCGCTTGGGCGCTTCCGAGCGAGCCCTGTCAGAGTGCAGGTCAACAATGAAGTCTTGGCAGGAGCAACTAAGATGCCAATGGCCCCTACAAAGAGCTTGAGCTTAAAATTATGGAATTTGGACGCTTGGGAGTCTTTTCTTGTCCATGTCCACGAATTCTGTGAGGAATTATATATGTTGCGATTTTGCGGCTGTTGCTTGCACACGACAGGCCTTCAGAACTTCCTGCAACTGATGGTTACACGGGTTTTGTCTGTGGTTCTACACTTGGATCTATCGATCTTTGCAGAATGACTCGTGAGATTCCCTGTACCCACCCCCCTTACATGTGCGTAATTGCGTAAAGCGTTGGGGCGCTTGAGCGGGCGCCCGCGTGTTTCGCGCCTGGTCGAGGGGTTGGGCCTTGGCAAGTCCCGTGACTCCGACAATCCGATGATCCATTCCCGCCGTTTGAAACGGAGCGTCCACTTCTGAGGCCGGCGCTCGGCACGGCCAGATGCCTTGGGAGCAGGCCAGATACACCAGTGATCCGAGTGAAACCCATCAACACCGCTTTCTCCGCCAAAACTCCCTTCGCCTGGTTTTCCGGCAGCGGCGGCAGCGAGGCGGACTTCGTCACGCCCTTCTCGCGCGCGGCGCCCGCGGCGCCGCGACCACGGCCCTTGCCTCAACGGAAAGGGACTCCGAAGCAGCAAATGTGAAGAACGATGGAAGGTGCTCCGTGCTGGCTTGATTTCATGGGGTGCAGGAGCAGCTGGTTTGTTTTTGATGTCCAGATCTGCCAACAAAATCATGTACATGGTACGCATGATACATGCCTTTGCCAGTAGAACAATCCAGCAAAAACTCAAGACTCAGGAAACCCAGCAGTTTCAGCATGCCAGCTTCCCAAGCAGGTCCGCAACCACCTGCCTGCAGGTGGGTTGGACACAGAGCGGTTCCCTCGTCCTGCGGGTCGGCGCCGCACCCAGGTCGGCTCGCTGAGCGCGAGCATCGGTTCGCCAACACTTGGCAGGATGAGTCAAGCACCTCCCCCCACCAAACCATGGATTCGCTTCACATGTCAATCACATCCCTGATATACAAGTAGGGCAACCAAGAAGCACATTGACCAAAACAACTCTTCTTCAAACAAAGCACCTCGTTCATGGACTGTCCCACTGCCACCATGAAAAAACTCGCACAAGTGTTTTGCGCCCCGATATATCTCCCAAAACCTCCGACTCTGGGTGGGGGGTCTGTCGCGACCCGACGGCAATGCGCCCGGTTCTCGGGGCCGTCGGCGCTCCTCCACGTGGAACCTCACCAACCTCACTCTTGGGCCTCAGCGGTTGCGGTTGCGAGTTCACGGTGCGCCCCGAAATCGTTCGAGCGGTCTGGGAGACATGGAGTGAAAGAATCGAAACCAAACGAAGGATTGGGCCGCGGCCAAATGGACTAGCTGATTTGAGGAATTGATTTAAAAGCAATTTTTTTGGTTGTTGCTTTGTCAGGTTTCCAGAAGGGGGTAATTAAGTGTCAACTTAAGTGGAGAACACTCACACCCGCCAGGAGCGGGGAATGATTGACGTGGCTTTCAGTCTGTTGTGGACTGCGAACACTAAACTATAATAATTCCATAATACTATAAATATAGATTAGATGATTCTGATATAACAATAAATAAAGCATCAATAATAACAATACAACAATATACAATAATACTATACCAGGACCGTCCAAAAGGTGTTAGAGGTTAAAGGGTGTCGGAAGGGTATATTATATTTAGCGTTCCTTGATGCTAAGGGAGCTTCTCAAGAGCATTTCCCTCCATGAAGGGGGACATCTTCAATGTGTCAGCTACCAAATCTGAAGGAAGTTCATCTCCACATCCAGAACAAGAATGGATGAGATCCGCTGAGATGGAGTTCCTTCATCTACCCAAAGGCTAAAAAAAGCAAAGCCCCTGCAGCCAAAACCTAGAGATTTGAGACCCCAAACCCCTCCAGCCGGGTCCGGAGTCGGGTTGGAAACCGGCTTGCACGACTCCCAAGCTGTCCACCTCTCAGCCACCCGACACGTGCTGCCGCGACTCCGGCCGCGTGCGTTGCGACGGGGACACATTCCGGTCGAGGGCGGGTCCTGGGGTTTGGTTCGGGTGGGCGGGTGAAGGGTGAAGGGTCGGGAAAAGAACACCTACAGTAATAGATCCAAATAGAAAAACATCGAAAAACCAGGTGAACACCAGGTCTTGAGGTGAACACCAGGTCTTCAGGTGAGCACCAGGTCTTCAGGTCCCACAAATTCTCATCGGTTGCAAAGAGGTTGCAAGTTCCAACAACTCCGAGCTTGAGGGTTGATGGCAACCCAAAGTTCAATCGCCTATGAACCCAAAGTTCATCCAAACAATCAAACCGAGGGATTGAAGGGTTTCCAAAGACTAGAGGATTCTGAACCCTGAAGTTTCACTTCAAGCTCGGCTTCGACTGCTGTTCCACTCGTTTGGACTCCAGGCTGAATAAAGCCTTGTTTCACACTGAGGATCCGCCCATTCGCTTTCAGTAGCTTCTAGTGGTTTTCCGCCCATTCGCCCATTCCTGTTCCTAGTAGCGAACATTGTTACTACTAGCAAGGCACTTGTTACTAGAAGCGATGCACCTGTTCCTAGTAGCTTGATTTTAAAACCACTACGAGTAGTAGCTTCCGTCGTGCCGCCCGAATCGCTGAGCCATGCACGATTCGTGGGTGCAACCTTTTCTGCGCGATCTGCTGCCTGTGAGGTTTTTGAACCAGCGCGGGGCAACAAAAAGACCCAAACAGAAGCTGAGAAGGAATATGTCCGTGGTACGGTATTATAGTAGGAGGATCTATGGTGGAACTTGGTGCCGTCAGCAAGGTTTCCATCAAGCAGTTTGGATCAAGTTTACTTTTTGTTCCCCTTTGATTCAGCCCGGGCCTTTGTGCTATGGCCTCCTTTGCCGGCTGCCTTTGAGCCCTTGGCCTCGCCAGTTAGGTGAGCGAAATTCGATCCCCAAAGTAAGATGTGTCCTAAAAAAAGACGGTGCTCGAAGTGAAGGCTTGAGATAAAATCCATAGTAAAAACTGTGCTCGAAAGGACTTGGTGAAGCATCAAGAAGACTTGGTGAAGGTTTTTTACAAAATCCAGTGGTAGAAGTCCTTTTTGGACCGGATTCCGAAATGCGGTGGATTTTTTCCGGATCTCAAACAAAATAACATCACTCCAGGCGCTGCCAGTTTTTGGAAATCGTAAAAGTGGACGCACCAAGTCTCCTCAGAAAAGAAAAAGCTGCGAATCGTTAGTATGCGAGGATGAGTTCGTATTTTGTTTTGCCCCTGTCCAACTGTATGATGTTTGTGAGGGCCTGTACTCAATTACTTGGCATCCGCTGCATGTTTTCCATTCAATACCTGCATGTCTGCTCAAGTGCCACTGTGGAACGAAGAACAACTCATGTTGCTCTTCACCCTGCATAAACCATCATAAACCTACCTAGGGCTGTGCCATGCTGTGCCTCGAGTCTCTATTCTTACTTTCCGAGGTGAACAGCGCAGCGTTCATGTTCCATCATGTTCCACACTGGCTCAGTTCTGCTTCCACGGGACCACTCCATCCCCATCCACACTGGCTCGTGCGAACGAACACACGTCCGCCGTCGTACGCCCGAGCACGGAGGCTGCGGCGTGAGGTTGCTCCGATCCACTGCTGGGTGACAAGGACCCCAGATCGATCGACCTCGGCGCGGCATCGACGTGCGCGGTGGCCATCGATGCCCCAAAATGGGTGGAGCCACAAGATCCACAATGGACGGTCAGAGTCGGTAGATCCCAGAAGCGATTTTCTTGGGGTGGTTGAAAAGGGTCGATGTAAATCAATGTATGGGGATTGGTGGGGTATACTTATACATGGACGCCCTGGTTTCACCACCGCAATGTGGGTCAATATGCCATATGCTTTTGATGGAGTATGATTGTTCGTGTCCGGGGAATTGGAGTTGAGATCTGAGGATGGATCTTCTACTGGTATGGATCTAGAAAAGGCCATAGGCTGCCAGAGGTATGGATTAGGCTTGGATCTTCTAGAATTCATGTGGATCTTCTTTGAATCTTCGAGGCTTCGAGGCTGATGAAACTACTGGATCAAGGGCGACTGAGGTTCTGGCTTGTCACTGGAGGCGTCCAAGATCACCTCTCGCGCGTCTTCCGGGCGCAGATCCGCATGGATCTGCAGGCTCACAAGGTGCACCAAAGGTTTGGACATGGTGGACCAAAGGTTTGGACCTCCGAAGCTCCGACAAAGACCTCCGAAAGTGTCTCCCCAACCTTGGGAGACTTGGGGATTCCGAAACCCTATAGAAGGTCCACCACTCCAAAACCCCCGAAGATCGGAGCTCCAAAACTGCCGCGCAAGACGCGATGTGTGTACACCTTGGACTCTGAAAACATGGTCGAAGCGGTAGAAATACATCGTCTTGCCGGGACAATGCACCAGAATTCATGGCCCCGGAAAAATCCGTCGGCAGCTTCTCCCTTTACTCATCTTTCTCTCTTCTTCAACAACTATATAAGCACGACTTGGTGGAACATGAGCTGCTCAGTGCTCCATGTTCAGAACTCCAATTCGTGTATCGATCACAGGATCACATCGACGGGTCACATCGATGAGCGACGTGTCTCCCGACGTCGCTGTCCCTTCCTGTCGTGCCTCCTCGTCGAATTGGGGGATCACCGTCACCGGCCTCGGACGATGCGGAAGGTGCGGTGACCGGTTTCAGTTCTTCGGGATCCACCGAGTCACCAGTCCAAGCACCGGTCCTTGCAAGTCCTTGGATGTCCTTCCCAAACCATCCCTATGTGGAATAGTTCCCAGAAGCTTCCAAGCCCTGTGGTTTTTTGGGACACCCCGAATCACCTCATGAGGAGCTATTTATAGACACCTCTTGGAGCGTTCTGGTACATTATAGGGTCATAAATGGTATAAATGTATTTAACCATGCCATGAAACTATTCCATGGATGGTCTGGGCTGGGAAGTCCTTGGGTCACTTCCATGAATTTGTGGATCTTGCCCGCACATTTGGTCTAGCGGAATGTGGCCCGCGTAGCTGCGCGTCTGCACGGTCCCCTTGGAGAAGGCCAGCACTCTCAAACTTCGGAAGATCTTCCAACAGAAGCCCTCAAGTACCTCCAAAAAGTCATAATATGTTCGCACCTCACTCAGAGGCCATGTTCAAAAGTCACACCGAAGCGCAAGACCCAAAACCGGCAGTGAGAAGGATGGGGAAGGGTGAGACGGTGAGACCCTCACATTCCGGACTCGACTCAGGCTCCAGCAGTTCTTGACCGGCTTTAAGGCCTCCTGCAGGCGCAAAATCTCTGTGAAACAGTCTGAACACGTCTTCCAAAGTGACTTGGTAAAATAAAGAATGCTTGTTTCTTTGACATGCTCAAAAAATCGTCTTCCATGGTCCTTCCTGAACACCACCCCCGCTGGCCGGGGCCCTCTTCTCCCCCGACCCTGCGGGTCCCCCGGCCGGGCGAGCTGCCCGATCGCGGCGGCGAGAGCGGAGAGCTCAAGCTCTGCCGACGATCAGAGGAGTGGATCCCCTGCACGGAGATGCATGGGTGTTGGAGAGGGTGGAGACCATCGGTTGGAGACCATCGATACCATCGTCTTGGTCCATTGGTTCTGTGGGAATGTCATGCACAGGAATTCGTGCGTGCAGCGCAGCGCAGCGCAGCTGGTGATGTGGGGTTTTCAGGGCTTGTGGAACCAAGTTGCTTGCTGGTCACATCTGGAAAGCAGGCGTTGAAAGCAATGGACTCAATGTCCCCAGCCTTCCCTGGATTCTCAGGCAGGCGGTGACAGAGCTCAACGACGTGAAGAATGGATCAACATACAGAAACTTTTGGAAAGGCATCGTTCCCAACAATGAAGACTCAATGAAGCTGTGCTGTGACTCGAGTATGGAGATTGATGGCGTGAGTCCAACACTGAACAGAAGAACAAGAAGAGGTGCATGGACTAGAAACCCGAAAGGAGTGGCAACAAGAATGGCCGGGTGATGGATCAACACGAGTGTCACAACGAAAGTTGCAACAAATCGCCTAGTGAATGTTTCAGTTCAACAATGTCCAGAATGCCTAGTTGATGCTGCGACACAAGGTTGCAGCAGCCAAGGGACGGAGTGAATGTAACCAATATGTCGTTACATTGGTTACATGCACAGAGAGAGAGAGAGAGAGAGAGCACCACCTTCCTTTTGTGAAACATCAACTGCCTTAGGGACATTGTGCTCACATCAAACCACAACACTTGATGTTAAAGCAAAAACTAGTGACATCAAGCAGTGTCTTCTAAGAATAGTTCTTCGATGTTCTCGGTCCCTAAGCGAGTGGATCATGGGCACGCCGGGCACGCCTATTCTCCAGTAGGCACCCTTTTGGAACTGCTGGAATGCTGGAATAACGAGACCAAGAGATAGAGATGGAGAGAGGGCGGAAGAGCACATGATGTCTCCGATTCCCGGTATCCTTCCCTCCCCTCCGGTGGCACCTGACGCTTGGGCGACATGAGATTCCGACAGCTGCGGGCAATGAAGGCATGGAACCTGGGTCGGTGACGCGGACCGCGGTGCTGCAGAAGTCAGAAAAGGCCATGGTTGAACAGTGTGTCTGCATGGGTATATGCTTAAGCATGCTTAAGCTTAGACGCCTTAGGGCGAGTGGGCTGTACCAATCTTCCGACGTTGCTCATTGGTGGTCACGTCCGGTTGTCGTGAGGTGGTCAGGTCGGGGGTCCTGGTCCACAGATCTACAGAAGTATAGCGCTTTTGCAGATTACGCCCTTCAGCGTCTTGAAACTCTTGAAAAGACAAGTTGATCGCAGCAGTTGATCAAGGTCCGTCTGTGGCCATGAAAATCAACAAAAGATATGCTGGCCACAAGATGAGCATAGTCATGGGTGCCACACAACACTGAAGGCTACAGAATGCAGTCAACTGGGCCATCCTTCGACAGACCGAGTTCGCGCTGAGTGACGCAAGCCAAGTCGGTGCATGCAAGGGTGTCTTTGCAGCCCACAGAAGCCCAGAACCCATCTCCTGACCTGGCCAATGGCCAACATCCATGTGCACATGTCCGTACATGTCCCATGTAGTAAAATCATGTAAAAATATGTGAAAAAATCTAGGAAATAACATGAAATAACTACGACAGATGGGCATGAAAGGCACCTCCTTTTTGTTGGAGGTGGCTCAGCTCGTGGTGCCGGAAAGTGCCACAAGACCCACCCGATCAACTCACTCAGCCATCCTGAGGGATTCTCAGGCGAAAGCGAAGGAAGTCAAAGCTAAACCTGCCGCCAAAGCAACTCCCGCTGGCTCGCTGGCGGCACTTCCGGGATCGGTGGGGTCTTCGGTGGTTCCAGTGCCGTCCTCGGTGGTGCTGTCGTCATCGGTGGTGCTGTCGTCCTCGGTGGTGCTGTCGTCATCGGTGGTGGAGCCTGTGCCTGTGGTGGAGAAGACGGTGGAGCCGGTGGTGGTACTGGAACAGTCCAGACCAAGCTCGTCACAGGAGCCAGAGACCACCGGGTCATAGAGAGAGGAGTCGATGAAGCGAGGAAAACGGAAGGTGAGCGTCGTGCCGCTGCCCTGCGTGGTGATCATGGGGTAGCCAGCAGCCATCTCCTCCCACACGCAATCGGTCTGCACGGCCGTCGAGAGCGACAATTCGGCCGAACCGCCCAAGGAGACCTCCTTCTTGTCGCCCTCTTTCTCGCTGGCCGAGCCTCCCCCCATATTTGTCACCGTGATGTCAAGCTCAACAGCATCACCCACCTCACCATTCTTGCAGGTGGCACCCACGTCGCCGCACCAGGTCCAGTCCCACAAACGGATGTTCCACTTCAGGTCCCCCATGCCCACTTCCCAAGAATCGGTGTTCATGCCCACCGTCCCGCTCGTTGCAATCAAATATGTATCCACCCCCAACTTGCCAATGCTGGAGATGGTGGACTCAAAGGAGACCTTCGAGGCGCTCACCGAGCCAATAGACACCAGCTCCACGTCGCCGACGGTGAAGTCCTGCGAGGCAAAGGTGTTCACGGAGTGCTTCACGCTGCCGGACTGGCCCACAGCGTTCCCCGAGGCGTCCACCTCGCGCAAGGCATCCATGGTGACCCGGATGCCCACCGAGTTGCCCGAGGATCCCTTGGGGACCTTGGATTTGAGTTCGGACGTCGTCTTGGGATGAAGACCCAGTTCGGGAAAAGAGAAGAAAAAATAACATAAGCAAAACCTAGGGACGATGGTGAACTTGCCACTTTGCCCTTGAACGTTCACCTCCACTGGCACCTCACTGATGTTGGCAGGGGCCGCAGTCGTTGTCGCGGTTTCACAGTATGGAAAGGTTGCGGTCGACAGCCGGGTTGCAATCATAAAGAACCACAACAAGGTCATCGTCATCGCCATCCTTCTTGCTGTGCCACAATGCAGGAACGTAGGAACCTAAGACCTGTGAGCCCAACTTTCAAGAAGCACTGCAATTCACTAGACCTCCTTGCTCAAGTGAGTTTGGGGGCTCACAACCACGAGAAACCGTGCCGTGTAGGCGGTCAAAACCAAGCATGCCTTCCAGTGTCCAAGCCTGCCGCGCTGTGCCGTATCACAGCACTCCGCTCGCTCGGCAGCTCAGAAGCTTTGGACCCCAAACACTCCGTGTATACCAGGACACCCTGTTTGGGGTTTCTGTTGATAGCTCCTTGGAGGTGATTCGGGGTGTCCATGAACCACCCCTTGTGGGTCCTGGTTTGTAGCAGGTTTTTCTTTTTTATAATTATTGTAATTATTTATATATAGGTGTTGGGATCAAAACTTGTCAAGAACCAAACCCCAAGTCTGGCAAATAGATTCACAGGGTTTCATAATATATTGCCACTGGCAACTTGCAGGAATGTTCACACAAAAAAAATGCTGTTGGGAATCGGTGGACCATATCTTAATCTTCCTGCACCCTAGCCTTCCAAGATCGGTAACAGAAAGCTTAACCTGGTTTTATACGTAGTCTAAAGTCCACAGTAAAACAATTTGTAAAACAATGGTAGTACAACGCTATTAAATCCCCTGGTGGGCCAGGAAGCCTATAGGGTTTAATATGGTTTAATTACAAACACTCACGTGCACGGTGAGTGTTTCTCTCCCTCCAAGCTCCCGGGCCGGCGCTGTTGCGAGTCGGCCACCGGGCCGGCGGTCGCCCGGAAATACCGCAGTGCCTGGTGACAGGTCGCGACCGTCAAAGGCAGATTGATTGAAAGACCCCCAACATGGGTTGTTGGTCGTTGAGAAAGGAAAAGGCTTGTGCGAGGAATGGTCCAAATCGATAGGCCAGCTCGCTAACGGACATGCCAAGATGGTAACAAAACCTCTTCGTCTGGGGGAGTTGAAATTTCATCCCTTAGTCCATGTACAGATCCTACAGCTTCAAAGATGGCTGTGAAATGCTTTGTTCTCGTGACCCGGAACGACGGAGCGGTCGAAGTGTTCCACGGAGCGTCTTCGACTGAGCTGCTTCTGATTCATCAAAGTAGGTCATTCGTCCATTGTCTTGCACTTTAAGTTTCTTTCTCAGCCATTCAGGGTACGAAGCCTTGTGGTGGAAATTGCGCAAATGCAGAGGGCACAGCCTAATGACATTCTTGCCCAAAAAGAAAAAGGCGATGTGCTGGAACTCTGCCACACTTGAGCGATCATGATCGATTGGCTGATGTTATCTGTGAACAGAATGCTGAAAGATTCGGGTCACATCACCCAACGCATCGAAGTCGCAACAACGGATTCCCGTATTACGCATCACTCGACACCAACGTCCGCCCCGTGGGGCCCCCGATCCACGGCACGACCTCGCCTCCTCCGCCGCGGCGGCTTCCGCCATGGCGGCCTTGGTGTTGGCGTCCAAGTCCGCCTGTGAATAGCCATCGCCTGCGTCCGATCTCCACCGGTGAGTCGGAGGCTCCGCGTTGAACATGTGGCAGAGCCGGAAAAACGAGTTCGAAAAAAGTGGAGATGGATGCTTCTGGGAATCTGGGCCATTGTGTGGGCCATTTTACTTGCATTATTATTGTAGTGTCTTTATGGTTGTTCATGTGCTTAATTTAAAAAGAAAAAACAAACTTCCCGTGCTGTTGGGTGTGTGCGGGTAATGCAAACCACATCAAACACCCACAAAAAGGAACACTGCTTCTCACAGGGAAGACCGACCTGTAAGACCAAAACTGAAGACTGACCTGTGAGACAGAGTGGGGAAAGCCGACCGAAGGGGTGGACGTGCATCCAGCCCAACCCCATCACAATCCAACGGTCAGGGCACCGGAGTCCTTGCACCGAATCCTTTCAAACTCCGGGGTTTCAAGATCTTAGGATTCTGAGGATTCTAGAGGTGAACTAGAGGTTCTTGCACCGAATCCCTTTCAGAATCCTTTCAAAGGGCTTCGAAGTTTGGAGCAGTGGTCCTCCAGTGGTCCGTCTCCCACGCAGCTGAGTCCGAGTCCACCGCCCGAGAGGACGGTCGAAAGGAAACCGCGAGAGGAGTTGTGTCCCAGCTGCGAGGGAATCCGCGCGGCGTGGAGAAGTGAAACAAACGGTTTATATATGGAAAATTCATCGGTGTTTTTGTGGTGCTTCTCGACTGTACTGTTCCTTGATCTTCTCTTTCTTAGACTTTTCTGAAACCGCTAGTGCTCAGTTCCTTGATACATCTGCTTAGTTCCCTTCTACACCGACCCCGGGAACGGATGCTGTGCCCACACCCCAAACGAACGGAACGGTCTTCTGACGGCACCTGGGCCCACGGCGCTGATGGAGGCCAAATGGAAATGGGCTGCGAGTTCCTGGCATCGGATCTGTGGATGACCCCCCCCCCAACTGGGATTGGAACACCTCATAATTATAGGGGATCTACTATATAGGGGTCTGATGAAATCAAGAGTCTATGCCTATGCCATAACCACAAGGGTCCCATGGGGTCAGGTTATTCCAATGATCGATTCCACTGATCGGCTTCTGGCACTGGGTGAGTCAAGCCCATCTCCATCATCTCCATTGCCCGGACGCGAGGACGCCACACGCCACTACGGTCAAGCCACCGACCGTCCGCGACCGCGAACCGCCACGGACCGCGGTTCGGCGCGCGCGCGGTTCGTGGGGTGTCGCCCCGCACGGTCGCTCGGTCGCCTCTTCGTCCAAGAAGTTATCCCCATCATCCGCATCGCCTGCACTCTCCTGGCGGAGATCAGGACGACACGGCCCGGCACCACCGTCGCGAGAGGACACTCTGTCACTCTGTGTGTTTGAAGACACACCCTTCGCGGGCCAGATCCATCTATGCGGGAAGTGCTCTGCCATGCTATGCCTTGACTCATCGAGACCTCCGGCAGGGCTCCAAGCAACCAACAAACCAACGAACCAAGTGACCAGCCATAAGACATCGCGACATGGCCGCCTCTAAGACTTCGCGACCAACTCCAAAGTTTCTAATTCTATCCCAGCTACAGTGGCAAGACTTGGCCTTCCCATATATACAGTATGGTATGGCATACATATGGCTGGTTGAAAAGAGATTAATGTTGACATTTAAAAAAAGACAACACCATATCAAGATATTAAAACAGTCCCATTGATGCCATTGAGTTGTTATGTATCCTCATGTTGGCTGCTTGAGAAGGGGAACCAATGCGGCAGCATTATTAAAAAAAAAGAAGGCACACATGACCCATTCATGGAGTGTCCTGGGTCCCAATCGCTTCCTCTGTCGCCCAATCGCTGCCAAGTCGCTGCCTCTGGTGGATCCGGCTCTGGGTCCGACTCCTGGGTACGGCGGTGTTGGGAGTCGCCAGCCGATGGCGGTGGTGTTGGGGGAGTCAAAACAAAGGGAAGTTAGAACTGGTCCGTTTTTGAAGTGAAAACAGCAATTCAATGCAATTCATGAAGTTGTCCCAAGGACACGTTGATCCGAGATTCTTAAGGAGATTTAAGAAGATGTTTTCAGAGGCTGTATACAGTATCTACTTCTCATCAATAGATCCTTCTTCACTGCATCCCTTCAGACCTACTGCTTGACCAGATCAGACGCGCCCCGGTCGTCGCCGCTGGCACCACCGTGCCTCGTTGTCGCTGTCGCCCTCACTGGTGCTGCGGCTCAACTGGTGAAGCAAGAACTCCAATTGCCTGCGGTGCGTCGGTTCCTTTTTTCAGACCACAACTCCAAACAGATGTTTCAAGCCAACTGGGCCCTTTGTCGTGCAGGAGACCGTCTCTGATGGCCCGAAAAAGCTGGAGACCGCTTTTCCGGTTCGCCTCTGCAGGAGGTCGTTCTCGGGCGACACCCTCTCCAACCTGCCAGAGCGAAGCCGGGCATTTGATCAGTTACTCTGGTGCAAGACAGAAGAACACCCTCTCGTGGATCACGAATCGGCCTTCACATCAAAAGACCCACAGAGAGAGAGAGAGAGACAGAGAGAGAGAGAGAGAGACAGAGCGCGCGCGTGAGAGCGAGAGCGAGCACTGTATGCAAGCAGGCAGCATTCTTACCTCTTTACCATGCTCCCACAATTTGTGTTGCTTTTGTTTACCAGGGTGTCCCTTCAAGAATAGGGCCATATACAGGCTGTATAATGTATAGTCCATAAACGAAGAAACAGAGCAAGACAAATGGCAAAATGATGTGACTTTTCCAGTTCAACTACTTGTGGCCAAGAGTCCGTAACACTACAGTACCCTCCGAGGAGAATCTAAAAGTCGACCTCCTGGAAGACCACTGGGTGTAGAAGGGAAGACCACCTGGCTCGACTCCCTAGAAGAAGGAGAATAGACCAATCTATCTACCATCCCAAACCCCTTAAATATTAAATTCGGTTTTTTTTTGGACTCCCCATGGCTCCTCTTTGCCCACAGAAAGAGCCGGTACCAGTTTTGCGTCCCAAACAGGTTCTGATCCCCAAAGGCCCCCCAAAGGCACAAAGCCACATGCCAGCCCCGCGCGGATCGGAACACCGCCTCGCAACGCGCAGGCGCTTGGGACGAGGCACTTGGGCACGTGTCAGGTGTTTGGTGTTCGTGTTCAGTGGTCCGCCAGGCAGCTAGTCAGGCACCAACCTTCGAGAACATGGGTGTTGTAAAAGACTGGCGAGCAGTTTCGAGGGACGCATCTTCTGCTTCGTCAGCGGCCGAAGAGGAAGCGCGCCACCATTCCCAGGAATGGCAGTCTGGTTTAGGGGGGAACGGATTGCTCTATTAGGTTGGAGGCCATCGCTATGAGTCTTTCATATAGTTAAATCATGTTAAATATAATGTGTGTAATACAATAGGGATCCAAGTACCTCCTCAAAAGGTACTTGGACCCTCCAAACCCACCCCAAACACCTTCTCAGAGGGTACTTGGATCCTTAGGGATAATATATAGATTGATATATCCTTCAAGACAAGTCAACATGGTCCTCCAGGGTTGACCCTAAGCGAGGGCTCGCTTTCGCTGGCCTCGGCGCCTCGCTTCTGGGCTTCGGATCGAATGGCCTTGACCTGGATCGAATGGCTCGAATCGGTGGACTCAATTCGAGTGACAGCTGGATGTTGCTTGGTATCTGATTTAGGTATCTCATTTAGTATCTCTCATGATTGTATCTGATTTGGGTACATTTTGGTGATGTTCTGCAACTGAGGAGATGTCCGCTTTGCTTCGATGGCAGGCCTTTCTCTAAACCAGTGAGGATTCTTGACCGACTGTGGGTAATGGGACACTCCCAAAGTATCGTCTCCATCTACCATCATCTACCAGCACCCTCACTGCCTTGTCGTTTTTTGAGGTTTGGCAAGGGCTCGAGACCAGGTCTCAACAGGTCATCTGTTGGAGGGTTCACAGGAACTGCAGCTTGTGGTTCACAGGAACAGCACAGACACACCAAAACACGGCCATGATGATACAATCTGGTTGTGTCAAAACCAGGATAAGTTGACCTACCTAGAAGGTCAAGCTACATGTACAATGGTTTTGACCTATCCCCATATAGATGTTGATGTTTCAACACACCCTGCATTTGTTAGCGCAGCAAATCTTCGTGCAGCGAAGAAGTGTACCATGTGTTCCCAGGAGGGGAGGGGTGAGAAGGAGTGGCAGAGCAGCTCATGTTTGCACACGAAACATCCGGGGCCATGGAGAACCAGCTGGGTCTTGCCGTTCTTCGCGGCTCATCGCTGGTTTTCCTTCCAAGGCACACCCAGCAGCGTGTAGAGCGTCCCATTGATGTGCGTCCGGACCTCCAAACCCGACCGACCAGACGGGTGGGGTGTTCACCGGACCAAAACGTCTGGTGTGCCCGGGGAACAACCGTGAAACCCCCGTCCCTCCCGTGAGAAGTGGAGTTCTGTATCCAGGTGCAAGTGGCTGGGCGAATGAGAGATCAAAAACCTAAGCGAGCTGATCAACCCAATGGGTCCACTGGCCTCGTCGACTGTGAGAAAGAATTGATCACTGATCCTGAGGTCCTGTCTCTCGTGATGGTCAGTTTACCTGCCAAATTTCAGGCCTGCATCGCCAAACTTCAGACCCTATCTATCCAACTCCTATGTCGAATGTCTCTGCCAATCCATGGCATCGCTTGGATGATCCCCTTTCTTGGTCGTACTGTACCGGTAGATTTCATTCGCTATCACCACTCATGGTGGATCCTGGATGATGGTCAATGAAGAGCCAGATTTCCCATATATCCTTTTGTAATAGATATATCTTTGTGTATGTTTATAGTTGTGTCATCCATTTGCGATAGTCTTGCGGATGTGGTCAAACAATAAATTTAACAAAAAGGAAAAAAACAAGCACTTTTTGTTCGGAATAATAGAATAGGAAAACAACACAAAAACAAACAGTCACAGCATTCAGAAAAGCAAAGATTTCTGTGCTGATGATGAATGGTGGCTCAGGAAGTGAAGTTGGGTCAAGCTCTGCGTCTAACCTGACCTGCCAATATTAGACAGATTTGGATATATTAAGTAAGTCTTGCAGAATTACAAGGAATTGGGATCCTTCAAAGTAACTAAGACCATTTGTATAAAGACGCCGGTTTATAGCCGCCATGGCTTCAGCAGAAACTAGCCGCTAGCCATTTCTTCAGTTGTTTAGTGTATGTGTTTTCCTTGTTTTTCAGAATCTTTGGATTTCCGAGGCAATCATTAAGGTGGACAACATGATCAATAGGCATAGAGCCTAGTTCAAACATGTCCCTATTTTGATCCACCACAATCCCTATTTTGACTCTCCATGATCTGCGAACATCCCGCCATCCCGCTCGGACAGCATCATGCTTCGAAGTGATGGAGATCTTCGCCTGTGCATTGGGATGTTCGATGAGCCCCACCAAGATGGCGTAAGCGCCCAACTCGGCACACCTCGGTGGTGCGGAATCGTTGGTGTTCGGTCGCGGTTTGCGGGCGGTTTGCGGGCGGTGTGCCCGTGCTCCGTTCATCTTTTGGAACATCATGGGAGGCTTAGCAGTGGACATCGCTCTTGGTGAACCATTTCTCCCTATGTTTCACACCTGCAAGATTGAATCCACTCTGGTCATGGGAATGGACGAGTGAAGATCTAAGTGGCAAGTGATGAGTACATGTCGACCAAAAGTGTGGTTCCTTCTACTGCGCTGTCACCATCCCATGCTTGCTCTTGTTCTCTGGTTTCCCTTAGTGAAGACAGCTATGCTATTGTAGAGATCTGTTCATTAATGGATACCTCCACCTGCACCCAGCCGCACTTGCAACGACCCTCCAGTTCCATGCTTGAACACTGCAAGCCGTCCTCCCCGACCACCGATCGCCCGGCAGCCCGAAACCAGCCCCACGACACACGCGCCGAGTGGAGTCGAGTCAAGCGACCGCTTCCGCCCCGCCGAGCGCAAGGTGAGGTTCATCAGGAGCGCCGAGGTGAACTGAGGCCGGTCGCGGCGGCGGCGCGACGTGGCACGGCGCCCAAGTCCGGTGTGGGGAGACAAAGGGCGCACCCGAGGTTGGGGAAGAAGGTGAAGGGGTGAAGGTGGAAGAAACACATCGTGCAGCAGTGGGTCGGTTTAGGTGAAACGTGAAAGCGAAGTGAATCACGGAAGGGTACATGTCTCCCCCCAATGCCATGAACATGGCCCGCCAAAGAAAGTTCAGTGTAGATAGATGGGACAAGCACCATTACAAGGTGCCGTTTTCGCAAATTCCAGCAATTTTGTAATAGTATATACTTTGCAACAAATCATCCGGATTCAAACTTGTTGAGAATTCCCCCCTGACATAGGAGGGTGCGACAAAGGGTTCTTGTTTTGACCCATAAAGCGATGGCTTTTCACTGGACCTGTCCAAGATCCCTTCCTCCAGTGGGATGAGCATTTCAATCAAATGTTGACCCAACTCCAGCGGGCAAGCGCTCTCAGGCGTGCATCAGGTTTTGTTTGGCACACAAAAGTTGAGGTGATTCCAAAATCGCCAGAGGTTTTCATTCGCCGCCTCTCTTTGTTTCCTTCGAAGTGAATCTCCTAAATATGCAATAATACCTCAAAAATCTGCGATTTGATGCATATAAGATAATATAACTAAGTAATACTGTATGAAGTTATATATAATGATCTCAAATTGCCAAGGCCAATTCATTCCCCACCTTCGATCCCCGTCCTCTCACCTTTCGATCCGCCCACCCCACGTCCTCCGTCCCCGGTCCCCCGTGTGTTCGATCCCCCGATCCGCCTCAATCGAGAAGTCCGGCGTTTCGGGCCCCTCGCCCGGCCCTAAGCGGCACCTGGGCGGACGGGAATGCTTCGGGCGCTCGGGCGTTTCGGAGTTCCGCAAGGGACACGTGTAGCGAAACACTGAGGTTTTTTTGAGAAATCAAAGCCCAGACCATGAATTCGCCAACCACTAATTCGCCTGGACTTGAATTGCAGGAAAGTCAGAGACATACCGAGACTAGTCGGACTAGCTGAATTTTCGACTTATTTTTGCATCCTCACGCACAAATCATATTTGGTGTGATCAAGCCTAAGCCAGAGCCCATTGTTTCGGGTTGTCTATTCACAGCCAGTGTCCAAGAATCAACACCGCGAACAGGGACACACCCACCCTCTGCCACTGCGGCTTAATCCTCTGCTTCCTCCGGGCTCACCGGGCCAGGTATGTGCATCTCCCTCAGGCTTACGGACGGACCTTCGAAGGGGCGGCGAAAAAAACGGCCGTCGCTGAGAAACGAAGCCGCAAAATCTGGATTGAGCACTTAAGACTCATGGGATTCTCCCTTCAAACCAGGACATGTTCGTCTTTGACGGTCGATCCACCAGTTCAATCGATGGTGGGGACTTAATTATGTTTATTTCTCAAATTATGGTGTCTTTCTCTTCCAAAACATCTACAGTATCTAAAAAACTAGTAAAAAGTATATAGGGTGAACAGGGTCTTCACCCCTTCTACTTTTTTGTGAAAAATGCTTGTGGGGCCCAAGTCTTCTGGATCGCAGGAGATGAGCTACCTTCCATGCTAGCAAGGATGATGGTGCACCCTGGACGCCCAGAACCACACGACGCAAATCGGGCAACGACGCCAGAGAGTGGTGGGTGTGCCTGACCCACCTGCTCCATTCAAGCCACCCTTTTGGAGGGAAGAAACCATGCAGACACATGGCTGTGGATCATGGCACCAGGATACCTTGTGCCTTTTCTACCACGGTCACTTCGATTGCATGGTGGAAAAAACATGGTTCTCCAGGTTGAACGACCCATTGAACCTCCAACTCCGTGGGGCAAAACATAAACCGCCGCAGACTCGACTCGCTTCGCGGGTTCACCGCCTTTTACTCGAGTCCATGTGACCGCCATGAGTCCCAAGGTGACAACTGCCCCACGTCATCCCACAAGACGCCTTTGAGGTCTGTGTCTTCTCCGAGGGCTCCGGGCTCCAGCAATTTCAGGACCACATCCAGTGCGCCCATGCGGATCATCTTCGACTGCGGGATAGACCGGAGATTGGCCATTGTTTCCACCATTCGCGGTTTCGTTTGCCTATGTTCAATCAATTCTTCAAAGAATTGGCCCCAAAGTGGTCTCCTTAAAAGGCTTACTTATAAACAAGATGAGACCTTCCGCAGCACACCGGTACGAAAAGGCATCTTCTCAGTGAGACATAGTGAGACCCGGCGATATCTTTCATAGCTTTCAAGACTAGAAGAAACAACAAAGAACACCAAGCTGCACTTGCATACGCTGAAACCCATCCCATGCTTGACTGGTGAACATAGGTGAAAAACTTCCACAAAGACCGTTCCAGACAAACCGACGATCCATGTTGATCCGTGGGTGTCATCAACGTCTGGTTCTTGGTTCGGTCTCTAAAATTCACCTCCCGCTGCTTGCCACCAGCCCCCAAGGAAACCCAGTCCTTTTTTCCCGCACACACAACAAAGACTAAGGGGCTTCAACGTCATAACACTCCATGCTTGCCTTTTGCGGTCCAGAGGGTGAATTCCCAAACGGACACACCCAAATGTTCCCATTCCATTTGGAAAAAAAGAAACATGTTCCAGAGGCCGCTCCTGCTCTTTCTGCAGCATTGGTTGTGGATCATGTTCATCCATGTTCGTCCATGTCTCTCCCCCGCAAAAAAAAGGCCCGACGCTGTGGTCGTTGGCGCCTGCAGCCGCCCCCGCAGCGACAGCCTCTGCAGGACCGCCTCGGGGGGTTAAGGAGGGCGGCCCGCCTATCACGGCCCGCCTGTGAGCCAGTTGGACTGAGAATCAGGATGGCGGTCAACAAAAGGAGTATGGTCCTATGAGGCTCTTTCTTTGGAACTATTTGGAAGTGATTTGGGTGCATGCCTGGAAGAATGGACATGGAAAACGATGTAAGATCCAACTGATCAAACCCACCAAGGGCTCATCAAGGCTGAAGGTTTTGGTGGCCTTCGAAGCCCTCATGGTTCGAGCTTCTTTTCGGCTGAAGCGCTGGGGTTGCTGTGCTGAAGAAGGAAACCTTTTGTTTATTTTTAAAGGCCTTTCCCTCCCAGCACCTGCGAACGGAGGCGAATCCTTTTTGGGACCGACTACCGGATTGTCGAGGGCACCGAGTATTCAACTACCTCATTTGGAGGCTTGAGAGAGGGACCGGGAGGGAGAACTCAATCTTCCAAGTTGTGACCCTTTAAACCCATTGTTTTCGAAGGCCAAGTTGAGATCTCTCTCTCTCTATCCCCAGTCAGAGTAATCCCTTGAAACAAAAAAAACGTTCATGGTGGTGGCGGCCAAGTTCATTCGAAGGCTGCAGGGGTGTGCTGAGCTTCACTGTATTATGATGTTCCGGTGTTTTTTTCCGTAGCTCAAGACTTCCAACATTCATGACATGGTATGTGTATGTATTTCGAAGCGTGCCAAACCTGTCGGCCCCGAGTTCTTCTCCATTCGCAAACAAACTGAGCGCGCAGCCAGGCAGTGCATATGGGTGAGAGTCCGAACTTAGCACAAGCCGGTGACGGCTCCACGTACTCAGACTCCTGGTTCAGCCTACCCAAGTAGTGGGTTTATATAGGGATTGGCCATAAAACCTAGAGTTCGGAGGGGTTCTAGTTCCTCCTCTTTTTCGGAAGGACCAAAGGAAGACGACTGGCACCCCCCATCATCAAAAAAGAAGCTCTTGAGCCAAAACAAGACTTTGGTAGAAGACACTGTAGCAGATTGTGGTTCTTTGGCCCACTTCGAGGATCCCGGCGAGAGAGTCTCTCAGATACATGCGGACCAGTTTGGAACAAAGCATTCCCTCTTTGTGTGATGGGTTCACATCGCGAAACATCTTACAGGAAAAGTTAACAGATCACAAAGGAAAACATGTCACAGGAAAACCACCTGTTTGTAGAGGATCAAGTGTCCGAACCTGTGGTCCATGTGACCCAGTTCGACTCCGGTGTCGATCCGCACCCGTCACCCACTCTCTTCTGGACAGGAAGAGGATAGAGGGAAGATGACATCCGGAGCGGGCGGACTCCAGTCTCTTTCAGTGCATCAGACGAGCAACAGAGCTTTTGGTCCAAGTTGGGCCATCCAACCAAGACATATGATACCAGACTGGTTTTCCTCTTCTTCAGCTGTAAAAGAAGAAATGCATTTCATCGCCTGATTTGTATGTCAGAAGTCCCAAGGGAGAATTGAATTGAACCCTCACACTACCCAGATGCTCCGTTGAAAAGGCCTAGATCTTCTTGTTGTCACAAATCTCCAACTCATCACCACGATTTCCAAAGGAGTGGTTTCCAAAGGCTAGCTGTAGGGTTGCCCATTCTCCACTCAAACTTGGGGCCATATGGGTTGGCCTTTGCAAAAATTTCCAACTGTGAACACCTTCCGGAACCCGTAAAATATCTATTCCAAAAGGGGGTCACCCCTTTCGACCAAATCAACCTCACCCTTTCACCGCAAAACCATGTCTGCGTGTGAAAAAACACCCAGGTCGCACCCAACCAGGGAAACGCTTCATCTCCCCAGGCGTCCTTGGTGCCGGGCGTGCGGTGCTGGCCACCGAGATCAAAGCACTGATGCAGCCAGTACCCTGGGCCTGGCAGGACTCGACGGTACACCGCCGGGCACTTCTGCCAGATAGTTGACATGGCGTGTGAAAAGAAAAGTGCGTGAGCAAGAATTTGGACATCAGCACAACCAGATATATATTGCCACACAAACCCTTTTGAAACAACGCATACTAATACATACTAATACTACAGTACAGCTCATTCATTCAGAGCTTGCATTGAGCCTTGAAACTACTTATGACTTGGCCGCACAGGCGTCGTAGTTTCAAGGCTCAATGCAATGCCTGTGTGGCCAAAGGCCAAAGCGGCCAAAGCGGCTAAAGCTCAAACTGCACTGGTCTCTTTGGATGCCAGTGTAGATATGACCGGCCCATGTTCAGCAGGTTGGGAAGGCTCAATCAAGTCTTGCTGGAGAAGTTCTAAAGCAAGCTCGCAATCCAAGAAACCGCAACGAGGAGGTTACCAGCTCTTGTAACGAGGTGTCAAAGAGCAAGAGCTCCTGTTGCGCGTTGAAGGCAAGTCCGAGTCCAGAAGGTGTTATTTTCGCGTTTTTTTGGACCGAGCGCCAATCCCAGAAGCTCTGCTGAGCCAGGTCACTTGTAGCTCCGCCTGAAAAATGCGCCAGGCCATTCTTGAAGAGGACTCGGGGCCCATTGCTTAGCTCCCAGCTGCATCGCCACAAATCCGCCTATCCTCGTACCGAGTTCGTGTCGACGTGAAGAACGGGAGACCCATGAAGGCGCGGAAGGACGTGCTTCCATGAAGATCCGAAGTCTTTCAAGCCGCAAGGCAGGCACACTCTGACCCACTCTGAAAACAGGGCTCAACAACTCCAAGGATACGGTGATAGAACCGTTGCCCTTGACGCTGCTACTGGTGCAAATCTGCAAGAATCTGCAAGAAGGATCTTGCAGGACCACGGGGAGAGTTCATACCTTCGCAGCATCTCTTGATGAACGCTCCCACTGTTCCTGCAACATCTGCCACTTGCAGACCTTCTTCAGGTCACACCGAATGACCTTCACTTGCAGATCTATCTCTCAGTCCTTCGGTCACCTCACACTGACAAATTGTCCCGAAAGAACGCCGCTTTCGTCTGCCCAAGCTATTCAGGGTCCTAGGGTCCTGAGCATCGTGTCGTGTCGGCGAAGCACGTGGGCACAATGGTTTGGTAAATCCTGGCCTGCTCTGACCACCATTTCTGTAATTGCCTGGTCTCCTTTTCATGCTGCAAAAAGCTCGTTCTCATTCTCCACACCAACGTCTCCAAGCACTAGCTGAACATTATGTTCTGCGAAGTGTAGAACAAACAAATTGATAGACATGTCTGTGCTTGTCTGGGTGTTTCCCTGTGTGTCGCTCGCTGATTTGCCTTGAGCCAGCTGCTGAGCAGCTACTGGGTGGATCGGATCATGTGTGGAAAAAGATACCTAGATTGAACCCTCACGCCACATGCAGTGCCTGGAAAATGTGAGATTTGGATCTCCAGGGTTCGGTTCTTGCGGTATTCGGATGTTTCCTTCTCCAATCCCCAGCGACACTGTCCATCCATGCACAGACCTTTGCAAGTTCCCAAGGGAAACGCTTCAGAAGGTGGACCATGTTCAACTATATATGATTATATATATATATATTTGTTCATATCATCTATGAAAAGAATTCTGGGAACACGTCTCAATGGAGTGTGTGTCACGGGTCGGACCGTGACCTGTGAACTCAACCCCCCCCTTCGACCCTGCACCTCGGCGGCTTCGATCTCACGTCGGCCCACCACCTGCGAGTTTGGGGTCGGGAGCAACGCAAAGTCCGCCAAGTGACTTGGAGACATCTTGGTCTCTATGGAGACCGTTTTGAAGGAAAACCCGTGGTTTTGACCGTGACATCTGAAAAGCAACGAAAAAGGTACTCATGACTAATTCGTCTCGTCTCCGTTTCGTCCTCATGGTTACTTGGTGGCGTGAGCCCTGGAAAGACAAGGACATCCGATATCAAACAGGGGGTGAACTCCACAAAAAAATTGTTTGTTGCCAGGGAGTGTACTCACCTTCTGCTTGATGGAAGGACCTCCTACAGCACCTGAGATGTATTTCCGGGTGGCTTCCAGGTGGTGCTTCTGAGTGCTTCCACGGGAGCTAGAAAAAGAGGGTGTCCGCTTGTCAAAAAAAATCCGTATGCAAAACCTCAGCCGGGTTGATAAAAACTAGACTATCGTTATAGCTGGCTATGCACGGACCATCCCGACCATCCCGACCGTAATGCCCAAGCGTCTTGTCGACGCTGATCCCTAACCAACGCTGATTCGGCGAAGTCGAAAAAAAACTATTCCTAAGTAATTATAGCTGGCTGTGCACGGACCGTCCCGACCATCCCGACCAAGCGTTGCCGACGCTGATCCCCAACTAACGCTGATTCGGCGAAGCCGTATAAAAACTATTCTTACTGTCGTTCTAACTGGCTGTGCACGGACCGTCCCGATCATCCCGACCGTCCCGACCATCCCGACCGTCCCGCTAGAATCTGATCCTACGACGCTGATCCGGCCAATTAGAATCTGATCCCAGACGCTGATCCCTGACGCTGATCCGGCGAAGTCGAATCTGATCCGGCAATTACCCTCAATTCCCATAGCACAATAGTAGCAATGGTTGCCAGTGAAGTCAAAGGATGAAAATAATGCTTACGAAGACTAAGATAGACTAAGTTGCTGGTCTCACCCTTGTGCTTTGAGCATCAAGTTTGACTTCACAAGTACTCCGCAAAAGAACCAAACTGCTAACGCCCCAGAAGGATCTCTGCCGGGCCCCACACCGGTTTTGGCCGCTCGTTCGCTCCCGGCGAAGCGAAGAGGGCTAAGCGGAGCTAGGCGGAGCTGCCGTTCACTCCTCCTTAAACTCGCAGTTCGGCAAGATATGGATCCGCCAAGCTGGTAGGATCATCCTGAGACTGAGGTCGCGAGGCACTGGAAGAAGAGACCTGTGGGTTTCAGCTGCATGATATGCGTCATGATGTAGGTGGAGTCCGTGTGATTGCAGATGAAAAACATTGGCCCTCTCCTTTGTTCATGGGCACTGTCCATGTGGGTGCAGTCTTTCCCCGAACATTCTTGCGGAACCGGTCAATGCATCGACCGATTCTGGAAGAACACCACCACTTCGGAGATAAAGAGATCCCACTCCCGTTGGCATCGGCTTCTGCATCGGCTTCGGCCAACCCACCTGTCTCCACAAACAACACCTCTGGAGAGTCTGGAGAGTCTTAAGTGTCTTAAAGGGTTTTAATATGTGAAGCTAGAACCAATCCGGATGGTGGCCTCTCTTCTAGCTGGAGCACTAGCTTCAGAGTGCCTTCTCAGCTCAGCCTCCAATGAGGTCCTTTCATTTGGATTTCTTGGGTTGACAGTTGACAGTCATCTTTTGGATCACAGTCAGTAGCTAACAGCAAGTAAAAAAAAAACATCACCTGCAAGTCTGGTGCATGCGAGAACTTGTGATCATATTCGACTTATGGGGCAAAGGACTCAATGAATGTCATCATGTCTTGTCGTCATGGAATCTCTTGCGGGCCTCCTCTTTCTTTTCAGCACGTTCTATCCAACTTCAGGCAACTGCTCGGTCCATGTGTCACAATAAACCATCTGCATCTGCCGGCAGGGTGATGGAAACTTCCTCCCAAATCTGACCAAATCCCACTCAAAATCTCTTCGTGCCAAATATGATCCCCAAATAGACCCTTTGACTCACTCCATTCATCCTAAATCCACACTCGGCCACTCACCCCCACTCAAGTCCGGCCCCAGTCACCCTGCCAAAAGCGCTGCCAGCACCACCTCAGCAATGTGCGGCGGCAAGATCCTCGGTCGATGTGCGGTCGGAGGGGAGGTGGAAACCTCAGGTCTAAAAGACGGAAGCCCCGACCGGGGGCGTTGATGCGGGTTTGTCACTGTTGAAGAAAAACAGGTGGAGACCTGTTCTGTCTCTCTTTCTATTTTGACCCGAGGGCTGTAAGGAGCCCGCATCCGAAAAGAAGGTGGTTGGGCTGGTGGGGTCCAACTTTCCCACCGAAGAGGAACAAATTCCGCTGTTAGCAATGGCATGGGGATGTCCAATTCTTCCATGGCTTAGGGGGGTTGACTCACAAGTTTCGACTTCCATGGTCAACCGGGCTTAGGGTGAGTGAGTTCCGGGATCCAGGTGCCGTCTTAGGCTGTACAGCCACGGCTTCACCGTGGAGAGCGGACCCGCGTCGGTGGATCAAGCGGCTTATCAGCGGTCGTGTGAGGCGGCTTTGCAAGTTTAGAGAGGTGTATTGACCATATAGACCATACAAACCATACATAGTTCATCCTATCACCAACCCTTCAGTTGATCGGTTGATCTATCTTTAAGAAACGCGGGCTACAGTCCATCATCTCCCCTTCATCGAAACAAGTCTTTTGCCAACAATCTCTTCCATTGTGCCCCAGCGTCTTCAGCCGTTCGCAAGTCTTGCCCACGCAGCAATCAAAGGCCTGGAACGCCACATGCCAGCAAGGCGGCTGGTCTCAGCTTCGAGGTCGACATGGTGGGTTCCCACGTCACTGGACCCGTCAAAATAGACTTGTCAGGATTTCTCTGGTCAAGTCCTCACCAATGAAGCATCATCCGCAGATCCAGTGAATGCCAAAAAAAGGTCCTGATCCATTCACCCCCATCCACAGAAAAAAAAAAGAAGAAACTCAACCTTTCGCCACCTTGCCACATCTCTTTCCACCCACGCCTGGGGTGGTTGGGAGGAAAATCTCCTGTAGGACACGCCAACCCGCCTCACTCACACCATCCGAACGTTCTTCGGCACCTTTCGCCAGGCTGACTCCGGAGCCGGAGATCCCTGGAAAAATGGAACCTGAGTGTCCACCTGTTTGATTTTTGTGAGTGGGGTCTCCTCAAGTTGACCCCCAAAAAAGGAATGCTTTTCTAGGTGTTTCAGGATGTTTCAGGTGGTCCACGAGCTTCGCTGGGAGAGAAACTTCCTTCCAAGGATGGAACATCCCTCCAAGGACTCGATGTGAACCTCCCGCTGCATCAGCCTAGCCTGTTCCCAGCTGAAGCCGACCAGAATGGCCATGGCCTGCAATAGGCACAAGCCGAATGAAGGGCATCTATGGTTCATAGACAGAATGTGTAGGCTTTTGTCACATAGGCCTCTGTTCATGAACTGTGGTTCATAGGCTTTTATTTCTGTACAGAATTTAGATACATTTAGGGATATTGAGTGTAAGGCGTAAGGCTAAGGCTCTATGCGAGCTACTTGACCGACGCTTCACGTGAGGTCGGTTCACAAATCCCTAGGCTTCGCATCTGACAAAATTGAAGTTCCTCCTACTTTCTGTTTTCAAGAGCAAGTGAATCCGGTCCAAGCACTGCAAAAAAATGGGAACTGTTGCACCTATTGCTGCACCTGCACCAAGGCAAGAGTCCAACCATTCAAGCACGCGTGTGCGCGGAGTGCGTGCTTAGCAGCAAAAGGCCTGAAACAGCATCGATGTCTGGCCTTGATCAGGGTCTTTGAGCCCTGGAGGACTAAGCTGTGCTCCAACTTCTGGCAGGTGAGCTGCACGTTGTCCGCAAAGCCTTCGTCGACGCACCGTGCGGCGAGGACGGAAGGCCCTGGGCTCTTCACCCGAACCGCAGCTCGGGGCAAACGGGGGTGGAGAGCAGATCCAGGATGTCTTCGGAGGCGAAAAGCATCAAGCTGTCGGGTACACTCGGAACTGGAAGTGGATAGCATGGCTCTGTGGAAGACGATTAAAATCCTCTACAAACAGGGAGGTGAACTCCACTTCCATGTGAGTTTCATGGAGAGCCTCTGCTGTTTCATCCCAATCAACGGATGGCCTTTCCACCCGTTCCACTAGTCCAAGGAGCTGAGTGACCTGGAGGATGACCTAAGCAGTCCAAGGCGTGGTCAACGCACCACAAGATCAAGACATCGGAGATCATTGGATGAACCATCGAAGAGACGATTGAACATCCCCAATGGTGGAGGTGAAGATCATCAAAACTCTTCAAGTCATTCTGCCGGTTCATCTTCCATGGAAGAATCTAGAGAAGATTAAAAAATAAAAAAAACAATTGGCACGCTTCATTTTATTCATCGTCCTGTTCATCAAACCGTGTGTCAAAACATCGCCAAAACAACTCTGACTCTTCCTTGCACAGTCATGGCTCAACAAATGTCATCCATTGAAGGTCGATTTGCCACAAGGGGAAGCTGCAGTTGGTGGAAGTGTGGTTTGTATCGGGGGATCTTCCCCCACTAAGTGGGAATGCAGCGCCGCTGAGATTGCTGTTCAAGTGTGTGCAAAGCTGTGCATTTGCATGCATATGAGCATAGGCCTATCTTCATTGGGGAATCCTCTTGATTTTTGTTGAAAAGACCACAAACCACCTGAAACGCCTTTAGTCATGAGCATCTCCGATCATTGGAAGCTCAAGCATCCAGGATGCCTGGATTCGCTCTTCTTTCGATACATTTTGGGCCGCAGCCTCAGCCAGTGTGAGCAAAAGGGTGCAATCATGGTCATGAGTCATTACCACTGTACCTGGAGCCAGGAGAACCCATGAACAAGTCCATTAACTGGTTTTGGTTGCCCAGGCGGTCAAAAGGGTTGTACTATGTACATAGCTAGCTCCATAAACAGTCTCTGGATTGCAAGACAATTCATATCAACATGCTTTGATGATCTTTGATGTGATGTCTTGTCCTGACCCCCGGCCTGCTCCTTTTCGCTCACGCAGTACATGGAAAAGTTCTTGTTTTGCGCTGCCTCCTTTTCGGCGGGGGAGAGGTCCAAGTGATGTCCCAGCCATCCTTTCCAATCAACTTTCAGCACCGGATCGCCAGGGTGACCGCATCTCTCGAACCCGCTCTGGCCGAGCGGCGCCGCAGCCGACTTCGCTTCGGACATCTTTTGTTGGTCCACGACCTGAGGTGAACCGGACCAAAAGGCGTCGTTTTCCAAGGAATGTGCGAAATCTCACTCCAAATTGACAATTTTGTTTAAAACAAACTTAACGCTACGTTTTTGGGGGTGGCTCATATGTTGAAAAGGGGGACAAGGACCATCCATTTTGAGGTGTCCAATAGCCCAGCAGGCGTGGAATGGGGGGATGCAAATCGGGCTCTCGATATTGGAGGGATGCTCTGAGTGCCATGAGGTCCTCGCTTCAGAATTGGCACAAAGGCCGGTAAAACTGAGACGTGCCCCTTGCCAACATCCCTGTACTGCTCATGTCACATGTCGATCAACTCTTCAGCTTTTTGGATCCATCCCTCTGTGGATCCATCTGACAGGTGCGAAAGCGCCTCAGGATTCATGCCTGAGGCGCGTACCATGTTCATCATCAAGACCATTCCAAAGGCCTCAGCACGAAGTCTCACAATGCGGCACAGAGAGGATTCCGGTGAACACCAACCTGAAAGCACTACACACTCGGTGGGTGTAGTTCATCTGGTGTCACCTTGCTTGGATTCATGTGGGGTACAAATGAGACATCCAAAATCATCCAAATACCCATGGCTTTTTGGAATACTAGGTGGTTTTTTCTCAAGGATTCAGTCGAGCTTCCACCACGGAGAAGATGACGGCAAGGACAATACCTCACTGGATCGCCAAAGAAGCTTGAACGAGAGCAATTGCAGCATACAACTCCTGTTCCCGTGCTTCCTGAGTAGCCACAAGTGCATCCCACCTAACATATGATCAACTTGAGGGGAACAAAGACATCCTTTCCGATGCGATCGTTTGTGAAGGGTCGTTGGCGGGATCCTCCGAAAACTTCCGGAGTTTGCGGCCCATGGTCTTCCGCAAGAGCTGTTTGTTGGGCATGCAAACCATGTGTCCCAAAAATGGTTGAGATGTATCTCTAAAAATAGCCCCTTAAAGGTGACTCGGGATGTCAATTGACCAACACAAAACCGGAGCCTGGTATACTACATATACTGTAATATGTCGCATATACATATATATATATAGTAATTGGCATATACTGCACATAATACTATAATGTACGCATGTTGAGATATTATACATATATTCTGCACGTATCTATATATTATATATATAATTGTCCAGAGTAGCAATCGGAAAATCGCCACATGCGGCCCATCGGAAAACCGAAGATGCGTTCCTGTCGTTCTCATGGCTCGTTGCCGCTTGGGGTTTCAGTACTTCGAGTTTTAGTTGGTTGTCCTGTGTTTTAACAACCCAAAAGTCCCTCTTAAAGTAAAACAAAAAAAACAAACACCCGGCAACCAGCAATCACGATGAAAAAATGGTCGTTGGATTTCCACCCTGCTCTCTTTTCGGTCGCCAATCCACAACGCGAGGAGACCACAACCACGACAGGCGACGCGCAATCATCTCGACCACATGATTTCCAACGGAGGAGGCGAAGAAGAGACGTTTGCCCCCTGAGTTGTCGGGGTGTCGTGTGTGCGTGATACAGATCCAGACATGGCTTCTGTGTTTTTGCTTCAAAAACCCTTGGTTGGAATGGATGTCACTTCATGACGGGTTGAGGAAACAAACACAAACTATACTAGACAACTATCATTGATGATCATGATTCCGTCTTCGTGGCCTCGGCCTCAAGGGTTTTCCTTGGCTTATGTTGCTTCGTTTTCATGGCGTGATGTGACATGACGTGACCCCATCGATGCCAAGGGGCCGAAGTAACCTCGGCGCACGGCGCACGGCGCGGCAGCGCGGAAGCGCGGACGCGGTGGGGTGCCATGGATGGCAGTTCTGGGCCCAGTTCGGTCTGGAAAGGTTTCATGAGTTCAAGGCCGAGTTCAGCGGAAGGCAAAAGGTGCTGGTCTTGGCATTGTCCTTTTCAGCGGAGGTAAAAGAAGGATAGAAATGGTACAGTTGCAAATGCATGACTTGCGGAGACCTACACACCCCGAAACAACTGGTTGTCTTTTGATAATCAGTGTCATTCTCCCGAAGTAACTCCCGAAGCAATCCTTCTCCGTCGACATCTTTGACCTTGCGGTCCTTGGCGGATGGTGTTTGGGGGTGGATGGGGGAGCCTTTCATCCACCCTCATCGTCTGCCAAGGGACCACACCAGGCACAACACATGCAGCCTCGGTTCAAGTCCAAGGACTAAATGTGCTTTAGGCTTTGGGAGGGAACGGCGGGATCCGCTAAACCACAGTGGCGTCTTTGTTTGTTCCATCCAAAAACAATCAAACAAATATAGTTATAGATGTTCCACGTGTGCTTGAGGTTGTGGTCATGCGGATTGAACACATTCTGTGTTTAAACCCATAGGTTCCCTCTCATCCCCAGTGAGGGTGTCTCACTTCAGGCCCAGACCCTGGGTTGCCAAGTACCCGAAACCAGATGGATTCTCCACCCCCTTCAGAACCCTTAAGCATAGTTGCAGGTCATAGCACCTCAAAAAAGAAAGAGTTGAAATGTGAGATTTGTCGGACATCTACAAACATTGTCAAGTGATCCAATGTTTTGGGGGGATCCTCGGTGTATGGTTCCCCGATGCCAAACACCTGCCGGTGCTCACAGTCTGCATCTAAGGCACAAATCAGCTTGAAGATAGCCAAGACCCGCTTCAGCTGCGGCCGCCGACGCAAGGTTTTCAGCTCCAGATGGCTCAGCTGTACTGAGAGAGAGGCCGCCACAGCGAAGATCAAGCTGCAGAACAACAAGACCTCCGCCCTGGAGCTTGTGACGACTCGATTCGTGGAGCAAATGCCATTCTGGACAGAATGTTTGGAGCCCCAGCGCATTCTGAACCTCTTTGTTCAGGTTTCGAGCCACAAAATAGGCCAAAATAGTGCTTCGTGCCAGCAAATGTAGCTTGTTTTGGTGGTTGCCCAAACCTGCAAGGTGTTTTCTGGACCCGACCAGCCCGGTGCTGGGCACCAAAGGTTGTCACCAAGGAAACCTGGTCAATGGAGGCTCCAGGAACATCTTCGTCTCCACTCCACTTGGGCCACCGATCCCGAGCTGCGGTCCCGATTTCTGCCCCGTCCGCCTGGTCGCCGGAGGTTCATTGCCCTCCGGATCGGGCAAATGTCCTCCAGTGTGGTAGCGCAGGGATTGGCATGTTAAGAAGGATAAGCAAAGCGCGGCAATATCATTTTCCTCAGCCACACAAGGTGAGGAAGGCATGTGGGTAACTTCTGACTCTTCTGCTTTCTGTATCTGGGCCAGGCTCTAGGTAAACCATGCATAGGATCACTATTCTGAAGTTATGACGATCTTTGGTGCCAAGTGGCTGCATCGTGCGTTTGCTCCTGGGCAGAAAGGCTCGCCCGTTGTGCAGCAGGAAGGTAGCACGGACCACATTTTGCATGAAAGTGCTCCCATGGTCCTTCTAACATCTTTTCAGGGCAGCAAGTGACCTCTGACTTTGAGGAAGCTGGGAAGTGGTTATCCCGTTCTCCGGAGTTTTCCCATCTTGTAGGAAGGGATGGATCTGAAAACACTGTCTGCATGGGGATCATTCTTTCTCAAGGCACCCCAAATTTTTCCGTACATACACTGGTGTATCTTCAATTCTTGGAGGCCAATCGTGTGGACGTACAGTTCCTCTGGAAAGTCTTGATGGCTCACATGAGCCTTGTCCAATTTGATGAAGAAGATCACATGAATCCTCTAAATCGTCAATACCAACCAAATCGATAGCATGTATATAAAAATGTTTTCGAGCATGTATATAAGACAAACGTTAGGTGTATGATGGTGTATATATATATATATGGTCCCTAATTGTTTTCTGGATAAACTTTCTATATGTTTTGTGAGTTTTGTCCAATCAATTCTAGGAATTCGAAGTTCGGAACACCTCTCCCAAGGATTCCCAAGCCCGTTTTTTGTGTTCGGCTTTTCTTCGCTCCAGCCTCCCACAACTCGAAGTACCACGCGTCGTGTTCCTTCAAATCTGCCTCGCTCGGCAGGAGGTTTTCCGTACGACCACACTTGCGATTAACACAATCCCTTGTTCCTTTGGTGTTCAATAACAATATATGAGTATCCTATGGGCCATATCTGAAAATGAGGAACCAAAATCAGATGGAATCTCTCCCAAAAAACCGCTGAATTCGTGGAGCCCTCCCAAATGCCCCCCAGGCATCGAACCTTTCGGACTCTCCTGACCGCCCCTGACCGCCCCGGAACCCGCCCTGGCCCACCGCGAACGGACCGGAGACCGGAGACCGGAGACCTGTGATGTGCGGAACATGCCGTTCACGTGCGGTGTGGATGCTTCGAAGAGAACAGGTGTGGTGAAGAGAACAGGTGTGGTGATGTTCTGAGATGTCACATGTCTATTCTCGAATCCTCAGATCTTTACGGGGGCTGCCAAATTGAATGATGAGTTCTCACGGTTCGATGAGGCGGAGACTGTGAATTTCATTGAGCCGCCTTGCAACAGAACCCTCTCCACTCTCTCACAAAAACTGGGCAAACAACAGCACTGTCATCCCCCAAACTTGGGGCAAAACTCCTTTCGGTTGAGACACCATCGTCTCGTCAATCGGACCCCAGTGACAGAACAGCGCCTTGTAGAGATATTGGCCAGCACGCTCTGCCAGCCACGCCAATACGATCAAACCTTAGTGAAACAGTTAGACTCTATACCGGGGTTCTCTACAGCGTCGCTGGAACTAAACTGCTGAGCAGAAATACATGACCTGCTTGGATGTTCAAAGGGCGTGCTTTTGCCACTGAAACACCGAAAACTCAGCTTCTTCGGCCTGGGTTCTTTCAGGGACACAGCTGGGCAGGAGGGTTTCACATCAACTGGACTCCCCAACTCGAGGAATCAAAGACTGTCCTCCATTCAGGCTGGGGCAGCCCCCAACCGTTGGGGTGAGGACTGTGGTGAGGCCAGTTTCCACTTGCAACATGTAATATGTTGTGATGTGGTGAATTGTGGTGATATGATATGTGATATGTGGTTGTGTGGTTCGTTATGGTTCGATGCGTTTCCAACCAAACAACCTGGAAAGTTAGGGCCAGCAGTTGCTTCCACGCCTGCGTGCACCTGCAGTAGTTCTTCGCACGAAGCAAACCATTCTTGCTTAAGCTTTAGGACTTCATGCGTGCATGAAGAGCGCACCGCACATCCTTTTCCGCAAGCGAAGGAAGTATCAATCTTTGGACTAAGGGGTCGACACTGTCGACACCTTTTTGCCTTGCTCGATGTTTCATGGTAATAATTACTTCCAGTATTCCGTTGGGGTCAAACTGGGGGTCTCTCTATTTCCATAAACCCCTCCCCGATTCTTGCCCTCAGAATGGCTCCTTCTTCACCCGGCACTGCTGTCTTAACACGTGGGTCATGGTCATCCTCCCAAGGAGGATCCCAAATGGGTGTGTCTTAACATGTCTTTAACAGGGAGATCTCCAGGCCTTCGAACCCCCTGGTTGGGGGCTGGAGGACGGACGCGCGTCCTCCCGGGGCGACTCAATCGGCTCCCAGGCGGCACGTCGCAGAGATGGGCACCACCAGCTCGGACTGGTTGGGGCTCCCCGAGAAGAACAACTGCCCGGACGAACGCTCCGGTGGCTCGGGGCCGGGCAACTCCGCTCCGCTCCCGCCGCGCGGGACAGCGAGGGCAGGTACGCGTGAGATGGATTGGTGCGAAGGAAGGAAGGCCCGCATCGAAGGGGTCAGATAGCTGTGGAGTGCCGACTGAGATGGATCATGGGAACTTGGTTCCAGAAGAGTCGGAAGCCCTCGGACATCGGGCGGCCGAATGAGTCCTCACACGAGGTCACGAGAGGATCGAGTCCACGCAGGTTGCAGGTCGCATGGACGGGTCTGCATGCAGGTGGTACACGTGTGAAAGGTGTTGATAGGTAATTAGCCATGTCCCACCTCTATATGACGAGCCAATGGCTTATGCCTTCATTATAGCGGAAGCGTTCCCATGCTCAGATCATTTATATAACTTGAAACCTCCGCACTAATCACCTCCAAAGAAGACCAGTTATCATGACAGACAAAAGGAAATAGAAAAGAACACAACCAAAACTCCAACTCCAAACAGCCCCCAAAGAAGTCCCCTCCCTAATTTGAGCCTCTCCAACAGTCCACTGCTTCAAACATGTTCAAAACGTTTCGCTCCAATTTGATCCCCCCGTTCGCAGGCGACGAAGCCCCACCGCACCTGCTGGAGATCCCCGAAGCAGTTGATGGCCGCGAAGCCGGCGACGTGCGCGAAGAGCATGGCCCAACTTTTCACGTCCAGCTCATGCCGGTGTGTGCCTTCATGCAAAAAGGATGAGGACCAACACCTTCGGTGGAGGTCTGACCTATGATCTTTTCCTGTGGATGACCCAGAGGTGGATGATGTTTGAATGCTTTGCAAGGCGAAATCTGGGTGAAAGATGGTGAAAGGGCTTGAAGTGCTTTGAGTGCTTCGGTACAAGGGCACGTGTTGGCTTAACATCGACACATAGACAGGTGGGAAGCAGCAGGAGATGCATTCCCGTTTGTGAATGGGCATTCCTTTAGGGTCATGATATCTGTGCAACATGTTCATTCAAACTTCATCGCATCCACCGGTTTTGATAAGACCGCAATCAAGTTGCTTTCATCGCCATCCCCATTACCAACGCCAGCGTTTTGCTTCCTCACCGCAGCAAACCTCAGTTGCAAATGCAAGTAACTAAGTCTCAAAATAAACAGTCACGCTGGGCGTTCCACAGCACCAGCAAGGTATTTCTGAGCGACTGTCTCTTGCGTGACAACTGACAACTGATGATACTCCAGTGCTTGAATGCTTAAGAAGACACAGGTAGCCATAGCCCAGCTCAAATCGGTAAATCAGTGTTTCAATACAATTGAGATGGTTGGTTGGATGGTGACCTGCGCCCCTTCACTGTTGCCGAGACTCCATAAGACCAACACCATCATCAACATCCAAACGAGCATGTGCAGAAAATCCACCTCGGGATGCCACGCGGAGGTGGAACTGCGACGCGGTCCGGACCGAAGGCCTGGACGCTCGCCTGGACGAATTGGGCGAGCTCAAGCATTCCCCCCAAAAAAATGGATCGTCCATATTGGGGTAATCATTCCCGAACTGAGATGGAAAGACAGCTATCTTGGGAACAAGCACACTGGAACCCACTGGACCAACTCTCAGGCACTTGAACCCACTGGAACATCTTGAACCCAGCTCGCTGAGGGTCAGCGAAAGGGACGGGACCGTGTTCGACCTCGTGAGTTGAAGAACATGTCGTTTCGATTCCACACACGTGCACTATATATATATATTATATATATACCTAGAACCCATTGTTGGCCCTTGTTTTGATAGGAAAAGGCCCTATTTTGGGTGGTTGGTGATCCAAAATAGAGGTCACAACCTGGTTCCAGGTACATATTCTCTTCCATTGAGCTTCACAGCAACTCCAATTGCTTCACAGGTCCCCTGCGACCGAGCCATGGCGCCACGCCGCTGGGTGGGGGCAGCTTGGGAGTGTTTGAAGCAAAGGGCATCGCTACGAACGGAGCAAAGGGCCTTACTACTAGGAACAATGGGCCTTGCTAGTAGAAACAATAAATAGAATTAGAAAGGACACTGATGTTGGAAAGGACAATTTTTCCAATAGAATTTAATTAGAAAGGACACTGATGTTGGAAGGACACTACTCTACTCACTAATCACATTGAATCACCATCAGCTGCTCAATCTGAGGAAAGGGGATGACCGGGATGACCTCACACGGCCCTCTGAAGATGATGTATGTCTTGTAACTAAAAACACTGGGACGAGGCGTCAGGGAGTCCAGCGTGCCAGGTGTCCTTCTACAAGGTACTTTCGATAGCTCAAACTGAAGCTATATATATCCCCATCAAGACTATTGGATTCCAATCCCAAGCGGTGATTTCGATCATATAAGAGTTTACCAAGAAGTGTCTCTAGGCGTTGAGGCAAGAGCTTTGATGAGAGCATGGCACTGCACAACACCTAAACTAAATCGTGACATCGTGAAGGATAGGATCGAATCGACAGAGTGATGGGCCATCGGAATGATGTTTGTCAACCTATCCATGTGCCATGTCGTGAGTTCTTCTGAGAGTCAAAAAAGAGGAACACCTTCATGCACCTTCTCCACACAGCATCCAACACAAATCCAAAGGCTGTTCCTCTGCAAATCCAAAGGGCAATTATAGCAAAGGAGTGAAGATGGCGCATCTCCTTAGATAGCAGGATGGTGGTGAGGTCCTCCAAGCCATGGCCGTGTCAAGGTCCCTAGGTCCCTAACCCGGAGAAGATCTACGATTTGGTCAGTGGCTTTCCCATCGGGCTTTGTCGCGGCTTTCACAAAAACACCTAGCAAACCCTGCCAACATGTTGGTTGCCCAAGACACAACAAACTCTGGGAAAGGATGAGGCCATGAAAGGATGCACGTCAGCCCAAATCATGGTGGCGGCAATACAGACCTCCTTCCACCAACGCAGACCTGGAAAATGACACACTGGTAGCTCTAGCGACCTCTGCACAAAACCTAATGTGCTCCGATGTCCTCTCTGGATTCACGCGAAGGGAAGTTTCGATGTTGGTTGGACTGAAGGTAAAACAGCATCCAAGAGTCTTTCGAGATGTGCTCGAAAGCATAATGCTCCACTAATCCTTAGTTCCACGGCCGGCATTCGCGTTTTGCTTTCCTGGTGCCTGTAGTTCGGAACAAAAACGGATGCTGATGAAGAAATCAAACCATGGGCACTGTATACAAAACACTTACTCAAAACGGATTGATTTGTGCCTGGCCGCGTTGGATCTACTCAGTATGAACATTGCAAGGGACTTATTAACTATGATAGTGGCCTTAAGTTGGGTAACTCACGCAAAAGAAACATCTACTTCACCAGTTTCTTCAAAATTACCATTTTCAGAACCTTTGGCCTCTGCTGCCAGCCCAATACCTATAGCCTATTACACCTTTACGTTGATATGCCGCTACGCTGATATACGGCTGTACGCCTAAAATTTGAATACAATTTGAATGACGCCCATATGCGCGCGCCTTTTTGCGTCGCGTCGTTACGCCAATATATGTTGCGTCCACTTCCGAATCCACATCATACACGTCTCCCTTCCAGTCGATTCTGTAGTCGCCGACAACGCAACAACGAGCCCTCAAGATTCCGGCCAACTGCCCTGGTCCACATAATGATCATCCAAGTAAGAACCCACATAAGGAGACCATGTTCGTTTGTATTGCTGGCTTTCAATGAAGGATGCACACAAGGAAAATAGGGAAAATACATTTGCTCGTGAGTGCCGGCGGGCATGCTATGGCCTGTGCTAGTTGGGCATGTGTGGCCGAAGCATTCTTCTCTCATCGACAGCTGCAAAAACGTCAGGCCTGACCACCGCTGTCAGGATTCAAGACAGTGCTTCTGTGCAACCTTGCTTGGGCACAACCTTGCTTCAGCCCGACCACTAACAAAAAAGACACATTGCATAATATACTTATATACCAGTGAAAAGGTGAGTGAACATGAGGGGAGGGTGTGTTGGATTGGTGGGGCCCAGGTGTCTGATACCAAGTTCACTACTTACAGTGGTTTCAGAGTAGATGGCACAATCCCCAAGTTAGGTTGTTCATATGGACCTCCATCTAAAATACATCTTGGGGTGCCAGTCTGAAGCCACTTCTTTTCCCAACCTTCACCTTCCTTCACTTCACCAACCCCCTCACCCCCCCCCCACCAACTCTAAGGTCTTTCGTGCGACGGTTGGAGGCTGAGAAAATCAGGACCTCAGGGACTCCGGGACCGGTGTCACAGTCCAACAGGACCGGTGTCACACGACAACTGACGACCACCAGTGGGAACTCCAACCGGTGGCACGGACGAACGAACTGAGGGATCTCCCTAATGTCCAACGGAAGGATTAGAACCTGGGAAGCCAGTTCCAAGCAGAAACCGTCCTGAGGTTCTTCTTCCAAGCTCTAGCGCCAGCTTGAGATCCTTTACATTGGATTTCTGAGACTGGGGAGTTCCATCCAGCACTCTGGTTGGGACTTGGGACTGGGTTTGCAGGAATGGATTGCACTCCCTTAAAAAAACAGAATCGGGCCGTGGATGGCAACTCGCCAGTTCGGAAGACCAAATCGCCAAAGCAGGTGGGTTTTCACTCCACTTCCACCACTTCTGTGGTGTCAATGAAGTGGTGGACCCTCAGAAACGATGGACCATTATGGACCCTAGTCTCCCAAAAACCGCGGCCAACATACACCACGCCAGTGCTGGCGACATGGGATTCTCGATTTGTCGGACAATCGAATTGATTCCGTGTGGGATCAAAGGGATTTTCTCAGTCAACAAAGGTTTCTACTTCAGGTTGGACACCAAATACGGACGCTACTTCTGGGACCAAAGAGGGGCCTATGCAGCTCGGGTGCATGAGGAAGAAACCGGGCGCAACCTCTCAGAGAGTGGCTGCCCCAAGCAGGCAGGCAGGGGTGCATCTACTTTCCGGAAACACATCGACTCAAAGAATCAGACTGGGGAGATGTCCGCAGTTCTATGCCTGAATTCGCAGCAGTTCTGCTTCCTATCTCCAGCCCGGCCAACTCCAGCCAACACCAAATCTACAGATTCTCATCAGTGCATCAATCATCATTGCCTACCCAAATGGATGCACGCACTATTTGTAGAGCTACAGGAATTCTAAGTGTCTGCTCCCACCTCAAAGGGAGATGTTACCTGTCTGTCTATCCAACCGACCCCCCTGCCCGACTTCGAACGACAATGCCCAAGGCACTGCGCAGAAAATGTTGATGGTGGAGCTGATGACCTCAGGCACCACGTTTTTTGGACGGAACCCCCAGGGCCAGGGTCTCCGTGTTGCTTAAGAAACGGTGTTGTTTTCTTCGTTGTGTTGGTTCAGTGTTTTCGTGGTTTCTCTTGGAGCTGGGCAGGTTGCACGTTGCGAAGGTCGTCCACATGTGATCGAGTCCGCAGGTCGTCCACATCGTCTCTGGTCGACGACCAGGTCCGACCCAAAATGACCCCATGAAATCCTGTCTTGCGTGTCTTGCACGTCGCGACCGAGCGTTGAAAGCAACTCAAAGCTTTATAAAACTGTTTCGATGCAACCAGAAGGAGCGAAGCAAGATGCCTGGTGGAGCCTTGGGGGTGAAGAAAGCACCCTTCTGCGCAACAAAACTGTGTTCCAGAAGAACATGCACAATGGAGGCAGCAACAAAGCAATGCGTGCACAGAGCGCAAGAATGTGCAAGACATGAATAAAGTGGAAAGTGCACATCGGTGTCCTTTTCTTACCAAAATGATCCAAAATGTTGCTTACCGACTTTGTTGCAAAAAACCCTTCTTCTTCCACGAGACATATTTGCACCAATCAACCTTTCGTTCTGAAGCAGAGACAATGTCGCAACTGGCACACATGCCCCGGAAGAACCCAGCAAAAATGGAACTTCCAGCCTGCCCAGAGAAACTTGCACGCCCATGTTTTTGAACGCTTATATGGCGCGAGTCGTATGTGTATATACATGCCAGGGTTTTCAATTTTCAAATGGGTGCTTAATGGAGGTTCGGGGTGCCCATTATCCACTGACTTAGGAACTAAACACCACCCCTTTGAATTGTGACTCCTGGTATGTACTGCAGATCCGCCGACCCTGGCCTAGCCATGCCAGGGCGGCGCCTGAGACCACCTTTGGTGTGGATCTTTTCCGTTGCGTGGCCAAGCTGAAACCTTCAAACTCGCCGGAAAGGCTCGACAGGTAGGTTTGACCCCGCCTTGACAGGTCTATGGATTCGATGGGTTAATGTGGCAAAACAAGCACGCGGTGGGAGCTTCGCACAGGACTCGAACACGCCAATCCAAGAAATTGTCAGTCCAAAGCACTTTCAGCGTCACCATCAGCACGGAACAATCACGCGTGACACGCATAGCCCTCTCACCAAGCGAAGGCCAATGAGCGCCACGGCGGCCTCTGCACGGATCACCTCTGAAGTGGCATGGCCGTCATGCAACGCAATGTCATACAAGCCTGAGTTCAAACAAACACTCGACTGACCCACAATGACGAAAATTCCGTGAGAACTTTTTTCTTCAACCCTCAGCTAGCCTTGAATCCCCGGCTTCCAGGTAGAGGCTAAGAAACACAAAAAATAGAAATACAAAACAGTTTTAGACAAATACAACCCTGAAATACTACTTCTGCATGGTACTACGTCCTAACTGGCCCTGGTTCCCAACAACATACCCAAATGAAGGCCACAATGCAAGGCAATCGAACTTTGAGTCACGTTGTCCTTATGTGTTTTCAAGAAACATTTTCGCGAATTTGTTGTCCCTTTCTGTGACAAGATAAAAAGCAAAGGCAATCGGGCCGCAAAAATCAGCAAGCACCCTCGTCGACGCGTCAGCAAAACAAATTGCAAATTTTCCTTTCGCAACCCGTTTCGCAAAAAACTGTGAGTTTTTGCATGTTTTTCGCGGGTCGTATTTGTTGTATGATCTTCGCGAATCGGTAGTTTCTTTGGTATTTCGTATGTTTGTATTTTGTGATCTTTTTGCATTTTTGCGCGTATTCTTTTTCGCGGGTCGTATTCTACTTTGTCTTATTGAAAGATACGAAACAGGTGTCGTATTTTGTTCGTTTTCAAAATACAAATTTTCCGCCTCGAACTGCGAACCGGCAAAGCCTGGCGAATTCTTTTGACCAGTGCCACGTGGTCAGGCTACCCGACAACCACGAGAGGCTGCTCCAAAAGACACGGAGGCCAGCTTCCCATCCCACCCATATCAACGCGTATCAAGTGACAATTTCCGTGAAGATTGCTAGCAGTTTCACTTTTTTGTGTTGTATTATTGAAAAATTCAAGCGTCTTTAAAAGAGCACTTGATATTCTTACCTTGAACGCTCCATAAAGGACTCAGGCCGCTTGTTTTTCTCCGATGGGACCAAGCTCCTCTTGCATCTACCGGGAAACGGATCTCAGCCGTGAGCGACGTGGCTGGTCCGTTCGTTTTCTCCGGAAGACACTCACCCGCAGGGAGACCGAGGAAGGGGATTCCCATAGCTCTCCTGCTAGGCCTTCCTTGGTATCCCTAAGTCTGGTTGTGGACTATCCAGCGAGACTGCGGGAGCGGCCGCAGTGTGGCCCCATCAAGAAGAAAAGTTAAACGCTGGACCGAGCCGTATGTACGGATGTCTTCACTACCGATGGAGAAGCTCCCATGTGACACATGAGGGCGAACTCAAGTCTACTCGGGCCGTCGGCCAGGTTGGACTTGGACTCAACACGATCTAGGTAAAGATCGATGCCGGCGGCTAAGGTCCAATACTCGCCCACTAGCTGGCAGGAATCCTGGGTTAGCTGCCGCTGAATCGTTAGCCACGAATGGATGATTTGGCGTCTCCTCAGGTCATCCTCCCAGGTACTCAACGCAACAGGAGCAGCGAGTAGTTCAAGCTGACCCATGTATGAGTTCTTGGGTATCCATGTTTCGACAACTGACTGCGGAACAACCCAGCTGAAAAACTTTATCTGAGCGGCAGGTGGTGGAAGGATCAAAACTCCTCCAACTACCATGCGCGGATGACGTTCTGGCACATCTGAGGCGTCGGTGTAAAGTAGCACCGGTGGATCTCTGTCATCAAGTTTGATATGCCGAGGGGGTGAAACGGTCAAGGTCGGCCATGTAGGTGTCTTGCTCTAAACGTAGCTTAGCTTTGCTACTCATCCGAGTTAGTTCGGATGGGGTACCGGTTGGGTGTTCCATGGAGGCGGTGGTGACTTCACTCTGGGAATGGGGATTTCACGTGCTCTGGAGAAAGTGGCACAGTTTGGCGCGTAGTGGGATAAGTCTGCCAATCTTGTCTCACCGTCCAGTCGATCCCTCATTTTAAAAATACACAAGAACCATGATCATGCTATCCAGCTCCAAGCGCTGACTTGGAGGAGCGTTCAGCTTAACCAAAATGGACCTCAAGGCCACAACACTTTTCATACCCCCACTGATGAACGCCCCACCCTCAAACTGCACAATGCCAAGATGCTTACAAACTGGGTAAGGCTCTTGCATTGCGAAGATAGCATGAATCCGCCCTCGGCAAGACACCGGAGCCAAAGGTATCTGGCCACCCGTAATCTCCGCAACGCTCACCTCGGCCGCCTCTGCCACAAACGGGCTCGCAGAAGCTTTGGCTTTCGCAGCACCCACTCGAAACTGCATCGACATTGGACACAACACAAACTGCAGGACAGTTAGCACGTTCGGCCAAAATGTCTTGCAAAATGCATTGGCCACCCGTTCATGTCCAAGCAATCCATTCATGTTTGATGTTGACCCTTTGGTGAAGTAGCTGGAGACCCAGGACAGGAGAGTCTCAGCAGGAAGCTACCTCAACACTTCTTGCATGCTTTCTTTTCTAGAGATAAAGCTTTACAGTAGCCTTTCTTTATCATTTTCCTCAGCTATTGATTTTTTTGACGAAAATAAAAACGTCCTGGTGATGTTCACAATGTCGGCTCGCGGCCGACATTTCTAGCACCACCTGGGCTTATAGGGCTTCTTCAAGTACTTTGTAGTGGCAAGCGCTGAAACAGAAACTGTATCTTTGAGAACTTTCATGCCCTCTCGTGTGCGTGTGTGTCCGCGCGTGCGTGTGCGCGCGTGCGTACGCGCACGCACGCGTGCGTTTGTGTGCGTGCGGGTGCGGGTGTGGGAACGGGTGCATGCGCGTACGTGTGTCTGAAGCTGAGGTCGCCAGGATTTTTCCATCAGACCCTCGTGCGCACACCTGTGTGGGAGTGTGTATGCGCAGGCGTCAGAAGCTGCGCTAATCGTCGATTTGCTGTGCAAACACCCTGCGGATACGCGCAGTGCCCCATCGCCGGTGGGCGAAGCCTGTCAGTCCTTTTTTGGGTATGTACTGCTGTATACATATTCCTCGAAAAAACGACTGTCTTCGCTAAGCTTGCAGCTTGCCACGAATACATCCTGCTTGCCACGACCGAGAACACTGAATGAAGTGTTTGGACAAGGCCGATTTCCATTTCCGCTGGCTCACGGGACGCGACACGACCCTGCAGAAATCGGTGACGAGTGCGCCTTCAGTCAAAAGTGGTCCTGTCTTTTTGGGGAACATGTCACAGTTGGGCTCCAAAAACGGCTCCCAAGAGCGACACCGGCACTTCTCATCCATTGTGTGGGAGCAGTTTCTGTCGAGAAAAACGGATGATTGCGTCGATGGACTCCATGGATCTCTGACATCAGGGTTGCTGCTTGAAGTTCGTCAAAGCCTCCCCCAGTTCGTCCATCCCTTCAATCGTGTGGTTCTTTTTCGAAGCGAAAGCCGTGCAAGAAAGGCAGTGAAACACAGCGGTCAGGACTTCAAAGGCAGTGCAAATTGGACTCACCCGTGTCTCAACAAGGAAAAAAGGCCACTGCAACCATGTTTCAGACCTTTTTGAGGTGCGCAGGGTCTCGGCCCGTTTTCCCTCCGGGCACGGAGTTCACCACTCTCAGCTTCGAAAAGCAAAATCCTACACTCACCACCTTTTTGAAGTTCGGATATGCTCATCATGGTCATGGTCATCCGATATCAGGGCCATGGCATCCATATCGTATACCACCATGATGACTTTCAGAGAGTGGTACACCGTGAAAGGAGCGAAACCGTCTCATACCGTCTCCCTGTTTCACCCCTCGACTTCTCGAGTCCTGATCTCCGGATCGGAATTGTTCACCAAATAGAAGAGCGCCTCGAAGAGAAAGAAGAACACAGGAATTCCAACAAATCAAAAGTGTCAAAAGACCAAAAGAAAAAGAATCGCTGCTCTCAGTTTTGGAGCTCTTTCTGGGACGAAACGTGGGTCCCAGACAACACCGGGGAAGGACTGGGGGACGCTCAAAAAGAGGGTGTGTGGCTCATGTCTAGGGAACACCTCCCGCCGGCGTTCCGACCCCCCTGGAGAAAAGAAACAGTCCAAAATGCCATGTCTCTCTGTCGATGTGCATAAATACCCTAGATTCGCAGAGGAAGCATGCGGACACTTTTGCAGCCAGTCTCTTTCAGTCCTCTAAAAACAATTAATGGCTAGACTAGACATGACTAGGCTCAGTCACGTTCCTCACCTGTAGCAACCGTCTCAGGTCGCCACCATCATGAAGGCGACCGCTCCAATCAACCTCGGCTGTTCCGCGTCGACGGGGCGTGGACCCGTGGGAGGTGATACACGGCATTTGGATGCGTGGTAGAGACCAAAGGGTGAAATTCCACATACAAACTGGTTTCTTCTCTATTCTTGTTTCGTTCTATCAAAAATCCGGACATGGAGTGATGTATGGCACATGCCATGAATGGGCTCAATGTAGGCGTATTATATCATAATTACTTGGTAACTCATTGAACACACAAAGAAATCCAAATGTCTCAATCCAAAGTTACAGCTGCCTACCCTCTACTCCCATAAAATCACCACCACATGGAGCTTCTCCAGTTTCTCCTCCTTTCCATCACCCTGCTCACTCCTTTGCCAAGTGGCATCCAGGCGACCGCCACGGAGATGTCGAAGTGCAAGTCGTCCAAGCTCACCATGTCGCTCCCTCCGCCTCGGGCGCCCCGGGATCCGCCCGGGTCCGCCGTGCGGATCGCCCTTCGCCCGTAGGGCTCCGCCGCTTCGTCGGGTTGCTCCGGTGCTCGGAGGCCGGGGACGAAAAGCACGGCGCAGACGGCGGGGACCAACTCGCCAGCGGTGGGGTTGACGTGGGGTCGACGTGCCAAAAGGTGGGGGAAGCTTTGGTTCCCCATGAAGATGCATTCAAGCTGGTGGAGACCTCCACGCACCCCGCCCGAAGGATCACGCTTCCCCTGAGGCGAAAGGACGTGTCCAGCAGGGCGGTACGGTCGCATAGGCCAAGAATAGAACCTGAGCGTACCAGTCTTGCGTTTTTGGTGCGATTTGATGTGAGAGAGGCCACTCTTGAAGGCGCAGTGGCCTTTTCTTGGACGACTTGGGTGCAGCAACGTTGTTGATGAACAGTACAAAGAGGTGTGCGGAATTTGGATCGTTCAAAGGGACTGCAAGGGTTTCTGGCCTAGTTGTTTCCCCATTGTGCGTCCTGGTATGTCATAGTTAAGTGTTATATTTTATATTTATACATCTATATCACCCCTCAAATAAATATACATCTATATCACCCCTCAAAAGACGTGATTCAGTGCCTCTGACGCATCTGCCTTGTCGCCCGGCCGATGATCTGACAGGGGCTGTATCAGATGAAGTGGGTCAAGCTTTGACCGTATAAAACAATGAAACATAGAATAATGCCAATACAACGAGAGAGCAAAGAGAGAAACCTCCACGAAGAGAGAGGGGAAACGGAAGGGATATGAGTCTCTCCCCCCTAGGGGAGACCTCCCAGGCGTCCTGACCCCCTGGAACGTTCGAGACATTGGAGAAACCCAGGAGAAACCCAGCCAGAGTCTGGGGGTTTAGGGAGGGAATCTTACTCTTAAAATACGCATGTGACATGTGGTATGTTTCCTCCAAGAAAAGGAGACCTTCACAACCTGAAAGCGCTGAAAGTCCAAAACCTCGGCGAGTCGCGCAGACGATCCACCATCGCCTCCCTCGGGGACGACGGAGCACAGCCAACTCCATGGACGACGGAGCCGGTGCTTCGCGAAGGGAGCCAGACCCCGAAACAAACGCAACGGGGAGGAAACGGGGACGAACTACCAGAGGAACTCATCTGATGGTTTAGTCTGGTGTGGTGGAAAGCGAGCGGAGAACAGAATGGCAACCGGCAAAAAAGCAGTTTCTAGTATGTCTTCATCGAAGTGAGTGGTCAAGTTCATCCAAAACGAGAAGGGAATATCATAGGATTCATGAGAGGTAATCCTAGCCGTGTGAAGAGTTGAGACAGGTCAGCTAGCCAAGCTGCGGATGAGTTGTTCCTGGTTCTAGTCGATGTATGTATATGCCTGCATGATGCACATGTGTAATACATTATATAACTAACAAACAGCAAGGGGAGGTTGGAAAACATGGTCTTGGGTGCCCATCGTTTGGCATGGCGCACAGATGTAGCACTTGGGCAGTCCTGAGTGAGGGGATACCATGATTGTCGCACACAGGAGGATATCTGTTGCTGGTCTGCACAACCCATCTCTTGGTGGGCCTGTGAGCCAAAGCCCTGAGAAGGCACGAGTCGCGTACCGCGATTCTGAAAGCAGCACCTTGCAAATCCACGTTGTCTTGGTGAAATATCATTACCAATGTTAATCAAGGTTAGGTCATGTCATGCGCAACTCTCATTCTTGGGCTAACCCTCAGCGCAACTGAGCACGTTCATAACTCTGCAGTCACTCTTATCTACACAAACCTTCTCATTCGAAGATGAACTTATATAGATGGATGTGGTTCTGTGGATTATATAGAACTCCCGTGTGTTTTTCAAGCATTTGCATAATTTAGCGAAACTTGCACCAAGGAAGCGTCCCCATCCACATGATTCCACATGGCGGCCGGGTTCCCAAAACCTTGGTAGCTTCTCTTCTTCGGGACTGCCGCCAACACTGCCCCAAGGACAGACACCCGGCAAAACACCAAGCAATAACGGTTCGCCCCCCAGAGTTCGGTTCCCACCTCACAGGAGCAAACGCCCATCACGGCCAGCGACATCTCCCGCAGCTGTGGGTCACCCCCAATCATCTGGCGCAGCTGTGGGTCCGGAGCGTATATTGTGAAACAATAAGCTACTAGGAACAAGTGCATCGCTTCTAGTAACAAGTGCCTTACTACTAGTAACAAGAAGCTAGTAGAAACAAGTGCCTCGCTAGTAGTAACAAGTGCCTTACTACTAGTAACAAGAAGCTAGTAGAAACAATATATAAATTAGAATTTGTTACTACTAGTAAGGCACTTGTTATTACTAGCGAGGCACTTGTTTCTAGCAGCTTCTTGTTACCTGCCCTTTTCTGGGTGGAATCCATAGGCATCCCCCTGCGGTTCTTGGACCGCGTGCGTCGCCTCCGGGAGCCGCGCAGCCAAGGCACGGAGGGCTCCAAAACACCTAGCCGCGTGACCAACCAGGCGACCAAACGGGCGAACTGGCGGAGCATGGGACGAGAAAAAGCACGGAATTTAGGACTCCCTATTTGGAGCTTTCAAGGGAATCTTCATCCATATCAGGTGTGTTCAAAGGATGATGTCAACGTCAGATCTTGGCGATGAAATGAATCGTGAGTGGATCCCCTTTTTGCTGACATCCACTCAGAATTCTTAAAATACTATATTTGGAGATCTCTTTACTCTAAAGAATTCATCGGTTAGTTGAGTGTCCGACGAAAGATGTTTTCCCCCCTCCTTCCCTGGTCCTACCATCAGCGGTCTTACAACCATCTTCCCAACCCACTGAGCTTCCCGGGCGCGAAGGCCGCCAGGAAGGCTCTTCGTGGGCGGATGGCTTCGTCGGGCAAAGCTAAGCGCCTAGAGGTCGATGGGACGGTGCTGTGGCACAGCGAGCTGGGCATGACTGGACCTTGCTTCGATGATGACTGGACTCATATGTCTTGCGACTGGCGACTGGACCTGGCCATGTCTTCTAGTCTTGGAGCTGCTGGGCTTCTGAGCTGCTGCGGAGTGAAATCCATATGTCGAACAAAAGGATCGAGAGATGGGTGTTTTCTGGAGCCATCCTCTCCATGTCGTCTGCACAGCCCACGGACGTTCCGTGGGGCCATCAGATCCATCAGAACCAGAAAGCATGAGGTCTTTCTGCCACCAAAACAGGATTGGTCAGTGGTGTTTAAATAAAGTCCCATCCAAAAGTCTAGACTCTAGACCTGGCCGGAAAACATGAGGTCTTTCCACACCGGACAACCGATTGGCTGGGTCTCTTCAGCCCGGACGATAGGCTCGGACGATCCACTTTAAGCCAAACCAACATACCGATGTCTACCATCCTGCCAAATGCGGCGTCGCAGGCGAGGAACGACGCCGCCCTTGGAAATGCCGCGCCTTCAAATGGATTTCACCTGTCCTCTGTCTCCCTCAGATGCACGAGGAACGACGCTTACATGTCCTCTGCTATGCCGGTCCAGTTCCGTACACCCCACGGCCGCTACCCGGTGGCTGTACTTTCCACACCGGCCACGGGCCTGAGAACTGCTCGCAACACCGAGAGGATCGGCGGCATGTCCGTTTCCTGACGAACCGCCCGCGCCGGATCGGCGAGTTCAACGGACACTCGATCGACGCGACGCGCTGCTCATCGCGAGGTTCGTTGGGACTTCTGAAGTCCGGGGCATCCGGATGAGCTCAGGATGTTTTGAACCGGAGACAAGATCCAACGCATAGAATCAACATACAAATGCAACACATATCATAATCATCCAAACGAAATACACTCCCCGAAAACTAACATAGACCCTGACAGTGGTAACCTGGAAGATTGTTTTCCTCTACCAACCAGTGGTTTTCAGGGTCCATGTGAGTTTTCGGGAGTGTATCTACCAAAAACACCCCACGTCATCGCCTCAGATCGTCAATGCAATGCCAGTCTGGGCAACCCTCGATCTGTTCACCGAGATTGCCCTTCACAGCATCTGCTAAACGGGTCGAAAGGGCTTGTCTGACACGGGACCTCGTGTGTTTTGGGTCATCCAGAATCATCCGCTGAAAACGGTTGTGTTTTACACACAAGACAGGATCGATTCACTTTCTTTCAAACATCCCTCAGGTAGTTTCTATGGGTCCCACCATGATATTCTAGACTGGATCTCCAAGCTAAACCAGTGGGCCAAGCGTGGCGTGGCGCACCCACCCCCTCCTCTCTCACCGGCGCCTTCTCCTCCGCGCCGCCCATCTGCGAGGCCATCCGCCCAAAGTCCAAGGCCGGCGGCACCGGTAGCAGTGCGGTGGCCTCGGCGGTGTCAACACCGCGGTGGCGACCGGGTCGGTCACGACAACAAATGTGGGGGACACGCCTCGGTTGGAAAAAAGGCAGAAGCACCCTGGGCAGAACCAAGTAGAAGTTAAGTAGAAGCGAAGCAATTCGACCACCCTGCCTGCCTGGCGACCTATTACCCAACTGTTTGGTTGGTCGCATGTGGAAAAGGGTCAGCTATATCATATCGTGTAACCGTTGGGTTTTCCATGGGCGGAGGGGAGAACTCGTTTTTATAGTCCATGGTATCAAAGAAGACACACAAACATCACCAGACCCACCCATTCTACCCGAAACACCGCCGTCCCTTGTTGCTTCCACATGTTCCTTCCCATGTCAACAAGGTCATCCATGTCTCCACCAGTTCATCCGGTGGACAGAAGGGTGGACGCTGCGCCTTTCTCCTCCGACGATTCGGCCCAGGCACGGTGCGCGCACGCGACTCGATGCTCCGCGCCGAGTGGAGGCGGCGCACCTCGAGACGGCTCGACCGGACCGGTCTCAGAAGCCGAAGCCGAGCCGAGTGGAGGCGCCCTGGAATTGGTGTGGAAGGATGGAACAAGGACTGAACACACCAATTCCGCCTCACCCGGTCACAAGGATTGAACCACCGTCCTCCAGTCTTTGAAACCCGGTTTCGTGGTCGGGAAATCGTGTCGTACCGCTTGGAAGCCCACTGGGCTGCATTGGATGCTGGTCCTGCTCCGTGGATGACCATTTTCTGATTACCAAACAGGTGGTGAACTCCACTTCCATGATCATTTCAGGAAGTCTAGAACTGTATTGGTGAAAACCCTCAAGTCATCTCAACTGTCAACTCGACGAATGACTCGTTCCTAAGAAAAGTGAACGACTGAAATCGACCAAATCTTAACTGACACTCTATCTTGCAGCAGGTGTGCCCCTCACTCACAAAAAGGAAACTGCGCTGTGCTTTCATCAAGTGCTGCCAGATTTTAGCAGTAGAAAAGGGTGTCTTAAAAGAAAGCTTGGAACACCGCAGCTTGGGAAGAGTATGAGGTGCTCACATCTGTGTCGCACTTTCTTTTCACCGCAAGGCAATGAGGCGCTGCCACCGTGTCGTTCCCATGAGAACAAGACTGAACAAGAACTCTGAAAAGGTACCATTGAAAAGTACCACCAGCAACTGATCATCCATGGGTTGAACTCTATATTTGAGAGGAAGGACAAATACAAACGTCTGACTAATGGCCACAAAATGCTGCTAGTGCAACAAGAAATCCAGGCAGAGTTGAAGGAAATAGTGTCGAAAAGCACGGTAAAGTCAATATGATCCATCCTAAACCAATGCACAGCAACGAGACCTTTTCGACCATGTGGAAAAGGATCGAATGTTGGCTCCCCAAAGCTCCGCAGAAGAAAGGAAAACAACAACTATTTCCAAACCGCCCAAAAAAACCTGATTTGGTCTTCATGTCCCTGACCTCTCCGACATGTCCCTTTCAAGTCCTTTCAGAGGTCCGAACAAGAAACAGAAACAAATCAAAATCATTCAAAATCCATAATTTGTTTGTACTTGTGTGTCTTCCGTGTTGCTTTCCTGGTTGGGTTCTTTTCCCTCTTCAGAGCCTGCACGACACAACACCCCATCGAATCCACTCCGAGCAGCTGCCCCGGCATTCGAGTGGGATCCGCCCAGACTGGAGGCCGAACTCCCACGCAGCACCTGGGTGTCTACGCGGGGAGCCGGACCACGGGGCCGGACACGGCCCAAGCGGCACGGAGGACGAGGACCATGGACGTTGTCCATGTTTCGTGTCATGGCTCATCATAGCCAGAGTCATGGCGTCTCCCATGCCAAGCTCCTTGACCCAGCTGTAGAGGCAAGGTGAAGTCAAACCCGGCTCTAGTGCTTGAGGGTTGGGTTGGTGAAGGTCGCACGTCATGTGTCCAACAGCTTGAGTTGGATGGTTTTGCCCATCCAGATTCGGCATCAAAAGACCAGTGATTCAAATCTCGGCAGAATTGTTGCCCATCCAATATCCGTCTGATCCCTGGCAAAGCAGTTCCTTCACCGCTTTGCTAAGCGACGTTCATGTGGCGTGCCAAAATCATCTTGGTCGGATGCAAAATTCATCAAAATTTCACCCCCTAAGATTGGTAAAGTATGATAGAAGAAACGAACTCCAAGTCAGAACCCAAGTTCATCCAAATGTCCAACAACTTGGTGATTTGGCTCTGCTTTGCATGTCTTTCTTTTCGATGTCTACCTTTCTTACATGATTTTACATGATCTTACATGTCAATCTTTCGGTACTTGACGTTAATGACGACTCAATTATTGTGCCCCGTTGGATTGCCAACAACTCTGTAATATCCAGGAAAATGGTCTTCCAAGAGGCCGCTTTTTGCACTTCCATGTGTGCTTTCAAGTTCGAAATGGCCGAGATCTTGACGCCAGAATCAACGCCCGAATCAAGACCGCGCCTCCCTTGGCCAGAGGCGATCCTGGCAACAGCCAAATCGGAGTTGGAGGGTGGGTCTTCCAATGTTCACCCTCCAAAAGACGGTGAATAATCACCTCGAGTGTTGGGTCGTTGGTCAAAAAGAGCAAAGCAATGAACTTCAAGTTGGCACTTTCCACAACCTTGTGGCCACATCATCCAAAAACAATGGCTAGTCTCCCTTAATTTGCTTGATCGCATCTGCTCGCCCTGGCAAATTGACACGACCTTGATTTCACGAAGATTTGGGTCCCTAGACGTTCCTAGGCAGACCTTTGAGAAGGTGGGGAATCCCAAAACACTGGTTGGCCCAGCAACCCATGGCATCAGCCGGGCAAGAACACCAAAACCCCCTCAAGTCACCCACCCCACCCTGTTGTGAAAACCGAGTGAATGATGGAAGGCCTGGAGCACTGGCACGCCACTGGGACTTGAACCACCCTGGCGTGCACCGTGACGTTGATTCAGGTCTGGAACAGACGGACAAAATCCGTACATGATGTCTCACCTACTTCCATAGCAACCACCCAGAAGCGTATGTACCATGTGGCCTGGTGCTTTGACAGAGAAATGGGTAAGAATCAGTGGAACATGGCTTCCACAACGACATGAACATTTGTGCTTGCAGGGTTTGCATCATCTTATTAGCAAACGCGAGTTCGGGAGAAGGTCATTAACTCCGAACTCACTGCAACAAAGCTGGCATGGTTCGCATCGATGATGTGCAGAAGCTGCGTCAACGGGCATCACGTTCAAAGGACCAATGAGTCGAACCGTTTGATTTGCTAAAAGCCACTCAAACACCGCAGAGGTTCGTAGCACTTTGCGGTCAAACCCGTGGTGTAAATAGTAGGAGACCGGCCACACAAGTGTGCTAGCACACCCCCAAAAGCTATCTTCTTCCGGTTGCACGCATGCAAGAGGACAAAAAGCATTCATTCCAATAACGGGTGTGTAGAAATTCTAAGTGCCGGGTGCCCGAAAAAAGGCACCTGAGTGGGAAAAAAAGGATGGCGCACACACTCATTGGCTCTCAGATGTGGCGCTGCTCCCAAACGTGGACTTCCGGCTGTGTGTTGCTTGGAGTTGCATGTGGCGCAGCGACCGGCAAAGCGGGAGACACTCCGAATAGGATGGGTTTTTCCCATGTTTTTCTGGGTGGTGGCCTGGCACTGGGTGGAAGCCAGTGGTTTACATCTCGAGAAGCCGGTGGACCACCCGGGTACCATCCTTGAGACTTGAACTTCAAAAGAACACGGTGTTTTCCGGAAAAAAATAATGAAAAACAAAGAAGCTCTACATTTGTTCACATCTTCTCACCCTGCCCGGCTGCCTGTGGCTCCCACTCGGCAGAGGAGGGAGCACGTGCCAAGCTTTGGATGGAGGGACGCAGCGATCGCTGCGTCTCCTGAGTCACCGTTTCGCTCGGACCGGACAAACGAGAAAACCTCAGGACAGCAGGACAAGGAATGGGAAAAAAGTGCATCCGCCGCCATCCGCGATGGATTTACCATACTTTCAGAGTAGATGGCACAAACCCACCCTCTGGCACCCAAAAAGGTCTTTTAAGTGTGTTTTTATGTGGGGGTCCTTGTAAACCACCGACATTGGGGATGATCCTTGACCCTTGTTCTTTACCCTTTGACACGGGTGATGGGAAACAAGGTCATTGGCACCTCGAAACCCTCATGGTATCTCTGGTGGCTCCATTCCCTGGTGCAGTTCTGCCTTCAAGCGTCAGACATCAACAGACATCAACAGACCCTATACTCCAAAACAAGAATGGAACTGGTTGGAAGACGCACTTTCCTCCAGAAACAGGGGATTCCAAGGATTCTTTCAGGACATTTCAGGACCATATCCTTGAGTGCGGAGGCGATTTGGTGAGGTGGCCAGGCCGGTCCAACATGGTACTGTACAGCAGGGCTACTGCTCAGCTTGCAAGGACTCCGATGGAAGTTGGTGACGCGATAGGAAGCGTCCAAGAACAGAGTCCCTATCCTATCTTTTGACTTGTTCATATCTACATCTGCAGACTGATGTTTACAGGTGCAAGGGGCGTTGTTCACTTCATTGAGGCAGGAATCAAACGATGTCCTAGCTGAAAAGAACAGACACACATGCGGCTTTTCAGCAAGAGAACCTCTGCCATGGGCCATAAGCGCTGGGTCTCAAAACGGTCTGACCTCAGGACCTCCCAAAAAAGGATTCTGAGCAGAACCCGTGGATGCGTGCCCACTATTTTCGAACACAAACAAGGGGGGTGGTCAGGACCACATCTTCCGCTCCTTCACCGGTTCGTACCGCGTGCGCGGAATCCGCCTGCACGCGTGAAGGAGCGACAGGTGGCTCATCCTTAGGCGATCAAGGAGATCTAGAAAGGCTCCGGAAGCTTGTTAGCCCAAAAATCCAAAAGAAAGAAGGAGCATGGATGTCTCTTTGTTCGGCCTCCTCGTCAAAACCTCCTCGTCATCGCTGCCCCGTTGGGTTCTCCGAAGCGAAGAGGAGACGCGTCGGCACGGCACGGCACGACGGCTCGTCGATCGCACCGGGTGCGTGAAGACGCTGGTGAGAAGCCTGATAGAGGGTCTTTGGGCCCGAGCCAACCGTGGTCTTTTCAAGCTTTGGAGCCAAGTGTGCTTGCTTGGTGGTTACAGTAAATCTATGCAAATCTCAACTTCAGAAGAGTTCTACAAGGAGCTGGTGTCCAAGAACCTTGTCCTGAACTATTTTCGTCACCTTTCTGCCGAGCACCTGAACCATGTTTGCAAATCTAAGTGCCCAGCTGGGTGCCTGGCCAGAGCTCCCAAACGTCCTCGCAGCTCAAACACCTGTGCGGTTCGCAGGTCAAGGACATCAACCTCCAATAAGAAAACTGAGGAAAACGAGGATGGTACACCCAAAAGGAAGGAAAGTCCAAGCTTTTAGGCGGATGTCACTGGCCCCTTTCCAGCTTTTTGCGTTTGGAATCCCATCTGATGAATTCAATGCTTTGGGACAGGAATCCCCTCACATTTGAGAAACCAACCTGTTACTCCAACCATCTCAACAAAAACCAGGGACGTTTGCTTGAGATCGTTCTGGGCGCGTGTTTTCGCGCCGCGAAACGCACGCGAAACCGAAACCTCCGCGCCTGCTTCCGAAGGTCGGGAAGGATCTTTCCACCACCAGTACTTAGCCAGTTCAAGAGCTCCGGCTTGGCCTCTGGCCTCGGAACGGCCAGCTCAGTGCGCCACCAGATCGGGATGCTGGGAAAGGGGCCTGACCCTGGTGAATCTTGATGGATCTGTTCTCACATCCTTTCCAGGAAGGACTAGTGTGGTGATGTTTGGTTCCATTTATACGAACTCCTTCCAAACTCTATCACAAAACATTATCAAACATCTATATAACCATATCAAACCTCTCCAATGTCTTCCATACGTCCGCCGTCCGCCGTCCCTCCCGCTCGTCCGTTCCACCTTCGGCCACCCCGCTGGTCGCCTCAGGGCGGGTGGAAGTAGAACCGACTGGAATGGTCAATGATGAACAGAATCGAATGGAAAATGAATGGACCTGAATGGACTTTTGTGAGGAGCTCCAAGTGTCCCAGGCTGTTCTCCGGGTTCTTCAGAACTCACAGTTCGGCGGTCGATCTGGTGAGTGACATCTGGAAACCGAAACGACGGACGATCTGGGACGTCATCTCCGGGTCCGGCCGAGATTGCCGAGATTGAGCCACCCAAACTGGGGGGGCACCAATCTGGAACACATGCAAAGGTTTTCACCACGACCATCCAAGGGCACCAAATGCTGCACTACCCCACACTGTAGTTACTACAAGTACTTGGGGGATCTCCATTGAATGGAAACCCTTGAAATGGTCTCAAAAGAACCTGTTCGGAAGGCTGGAAGGGCCTGGGCAAGAACTGGAAGGTCTATCGGATTCTATGTGTCTTGCAAGGCATTTCCTTTCGGCACTTTCTTGCAGATGCTGATGATTGGTGGTTGGATCTTCGACTCAGTGAGCTTTTTGCAGCGGTTTTGCACCAGAAATGACTGATCATCCATTTTGTTAAGGTGGCACAGTAATTACTGTACGATATGAAGGTTGACCAAGGTTCATTCCAGTATATTACTGTTGAGGTTGACCCTCTAGGCTTGGTACAGCAATGGAGGGGTACACTTGGATCACTTGGTATATCAATAATTGCAGTACAAGTGATTAGGTCGTGCCCCTATACCAGGGATTGCGGGGGTCTGGGCAAGCTCCCTATCTTCATTCATGCCTTCCATCTACCTCTCTCCCTTGGGCCAACGACTCGGCATGTTCTCAAACCTGGCAACGGATGAGGAAGCCCAAGGCAGTGGGCCAAGGGCGGCTCTAGAAGAAAATACTCGGCAAGTACCACGTTCCTGGTTGGCACCCTCTTCAACATCACAGCTCAATACAGCTCTTTTCTTACTACAGGCAGCACGTTTCAGCGGAAAAAAAAGAGCAAACATGCAGCTCTTTTCTTGCAAAATCAATGTTGTGTTTTCCATGGTCAATTCGCTTCCCGAAAAGTACGAAGAGTCATCAAATACCGATCTCCCCGCTGGCACAGAGGTCCTGATCATGTTCACAATTTGATCCTCATCAAAAAAGGGTGGATGGCCGTGCCCTATGACAAACCGAAAACATCTACCCACCTACTTACCTACCTACCTATCTTTCTGCCCTGCTTGACTTCGGAATTTGTGTCTCCCCGTCCACCCAGAACCATACTCCTTCCGGGCGCACGCTTGCTGCTTCAGCGCAGTAGCCGCCGACGCCCAGCCCAGGTCTGCAATCCGCAGCAGCTCATGCCTTGGACGTTGCACACTGCTCCTGCCAGTAGTCTTCACCACGCGAGCCCTGCCAAACACCCTTTCGAGCACAACTCCAAGTCGCGTTCACGTGGAAAATCCCCTGTGTAGGGGGAACTCGTCTTCTCAAGTAGGGCTTCCCATCCACTTCCATTTATAATTTGACATGTTCGTGGGAATGTAGTCCCCCAAACACAAAACCGTTCGCCATGCCCCATTCCAAAAAGGTGTGGTTCCCCGATCAACAACCAGGTTTCAGTGAAAGATATTCGTTGCAGGGAGAGTTAGAGGGTAGAGGGCGTGTGGAAATCAAATGACTGGATCAGAAAATGCGGCTCTAAACTTACTGTTCAGAGTGGATGCATGGATGCATCTGCGATAGAATGAAAGTCGTCAATGTGCGTTGCATGCTTCATGCATAGAACATGTCATATTAGCTGGTGCCTTCTTCTACAAGTGATTGCAAAAAACAATAAAAAACACCATCCACTGATTCATCAAGCCGAATCATCGGGCTCCTCCAGCCCTTCAGCCCTTTAGGGCCCAACCAGCTGTGGGCAGGGGGGCAGCTTGGAGGAGTCTTGGAGACAATGATGGCACCAGCCTCAGGCGTGAGGCAGCTGCGACCAGTGAACACTGCCTCTTCAGAGAGTGCATATATATAATATATATGTCCAAGACACCAACCTACTGAACATGGATGAACATGAGGAACATGAATGAAAACGGGTCCGGAACACACGGCGCTGGGCACGGTTTCTATCCATTGGATCGAGCCCCCCCCTCCCGCACCGGCCCTGCATGGATCGACGCCGCGGTGGAGACCCGGGGCCCCGCACCAGATGTCTCAGCGAAGGTGCATGCCGCGTGCTCGTGTACGCCGTCATGAACGCCTGGCTTCGTATGTACGCGAAGCGTTGACCGGGCGTATTGCGGGCGGGCGGTCGCCCACAACTTCGACGTTGGATGTCGAATGACTGATGGCTCCCAAGGTTCCTGAGGGAATGAACCCTCAATAGATTTGGGCAATGAACATCTATGTTTTGTTGGGTTGTCCTGGGTTGTTTCCAAAACGGCCGTTCTCCCTAGCCAAATGACCAGTCTGGGGAGATCTGTCTGCGGACACATCCACCAACGCGCTGGTGTTCACCAGCATGGTGATGCATCCTCTTGGCGAAGAAGATGGACCCCAAAACCCACGGACAAAGACCGCTGTTGGGGAGGACCCGGCGTCATGGAGATGTGGAGAATCGTGGTTCAGCGCTGCGGCCGGGCTGGTTAGGCCAATCGATGGTTCGGCGCTGCGACCTGAACATCTGAGCGCAGCTTCTCGGACCAGGACTCCTCCGGCGAAATCGCGAGGTCAAAGACCAGACCGTCTGGATCACTACAAGGGGGTTGGGATGTTGGGGGCAAAATGCTTGGGTCCAGGTGTAGGAACATGGTACCAAAATCTTTACACAGAAAGGCTCGGGATGAGGGTGTTCTTGTGACCATTCAGGTGTGTACCACTGAGTCTACCACCTTTCAACAGGTCTCCGCTTTGGGAGGCGTTTGATGGCTCAAGTAGACTGAAGTCGTCGCAAGTGGTGACCTGTTAGAGTCCTTTCATGGCAAACTCCTCCCCGCCCTCCCCTTGAAGCTGCCGCTCCAACTTCTCCGAGCCAAAGGCGAACCGGGATGGAAAATTCGGCGTTCCTCTCCTCGAAGATGAACCGAAGCAAGGAATTCTGATGCGCTTGCGGCACAAAGGGCAACGCGTAGAGCGACGAAAGGCCTCGGTGTCGCTCGGTGCGCGTGTCGAGCGTAGAGCGTCGCGCGTCGGGAGCGAATTTGTACGCGTGGAGCATGTGTCAAGGCCGGAGAGTCCCGGAAGCGCCTCATAAACAAATTCACCTTAAATGATAAACAAATGCAATGAATAAATTCACAAACAAATGCTATGAATATATCAAAGTTATTGATCATTTAACAAATTGAACATGTTCATAACTGTTGTTAATAATTCACCTAAATTAAGAATTAATAAAAGTTATGATGTTCTGTTACTATATATAATAAGAATGGCCTCCAACCTAGTAGCGATGGCCTCCAACCTCCAACACGGTGTAACTTAGAAGGGAGACCCTCGAAATCTCGCCCCTGGCTGAGTAGACTGGTTGATTTCCGAACCTTCCACTTTGCCTATAATTTTAGACTGAACCTTGCCCTCCCCCTCAATGCTTTAAAGTCTTTGAATTTGAATGCCACACAAGTCTGAAAGGTCACCAGCTCTTCATCCACGGTCACCAGCTCAGCTCCCCGCTCTCCGCTCTCCTCCACCCCTCCACCTCCGCCGCGTGGGCCACTGCGCTCCTCACCGAGCCACTGCTGTTGGCCTCCGTAGGCCACGTGGGCCGCGAGGCGAGGAAGCTCTTGAGCTCCGTCCAATCGGCCGTGGGCCTCGGTTGAGGCCCCGACCGGGTCGCCCACGGTCCCGCCCGGATTTGATGAGCTGAAGAAGCTGCTGAAGAAGCTGCAATTCGTTTGGGCTGATTTACATGCAGAATTGACGTGTTGAGAGTTCCAAAATTGCTTCTTTTGGACGTCGAATGATGGTGCATGCACCAAAAAATAGGCAGTGTCGGGTGTCTCCGGCGAGTTCGGGTCCCAGCGGATCTCGCCATCTCCTCGTGCTTCGTAATAGAATAGAAATGGATCCTAAGGATGGAGGCCATCGCTACTAGCTCTCAAGGTCTCTCACGGCCTCTCTCTTGTTCTGTTCAGCCCACCGTTCGTCGCACCGACCGTTCGTCGCACCCGTCATTCTGACGGCCAACAAGACCGAACGCTGCCGAACGCTTGGCCGAAGAAAGGCCCCGAAGACCGAAACAAGTGCCTTACTAGTAGTAACAAGGTTCGCTATTAGAAACAAGTGCCACGCTAGTAGTAACAAGAAGCTATTAGAATTAAATTAATCGGACCACCGAGCCATGCTGAGCCATGCTGAGCCCAAGACAAAGGCAGGCTTGGATCCTTCAATTCGACGAGCGGCACCAGAGCCCTGCCCTTTCTCTGAAATCCAAGATCTGTCAGCACAACCGTCTATAAATATGACGTCACTTTTTTGGGATGGTTCTTCAATACAAGACACATTGAGATCTGGAGATCTTGTTTACCACCTGAACTGGGTGGTGCTGGAAGGATACATGATATCTGTTGATGGACTGCGACACACACCTGGGGACCCAATCTGAAGAATCAAGCCACGATGGCACGGACCTGATTGGGCAGCTTCCTCCTGGCTTCCTCAAAATACAACTGCCACAAAGATGTTGGCCTTTAGCGTAATGCAGAATGTTGATTCATACAACACCCTCATTTGGATTGCAAAACTGCTTCATATTCGCCGTTGACATATCATCAACATTCTACACTAAATTAGAATGTCCCACCTTTTCTGTCCAGACCATGTCCAGCAGCGCTTCAGTCCAGTCTTTGTTCTCAACTCCGTCAGGCCCCAGCGTCGCCCCGTCGCCCAGTCGGCCCTCCTTCTCAGCAAGGACCTCGGCCACTGAGGTTCTTGGCCATTGTCAATGGTTCTGGAATGGCAACTTCAGGACCTTTCTATGTACGGTACATGCTTGTCAGCTCATCCGTCTTAGAGGTATACAGGAATCTCCTCCGTCAAAGGAATCTCCTCCCTCAAAAAGACATCCAATCCCCCTGTCAACTCTAGCCATTGCCCACCTTGTGTCATGCAGATGCAGCTCCAACAAAGTCTTGCGCCAAGTTCAGCATGTCTCACCTGCCATCCCCTGCCATCTCCCTGCCTTGCGGGTTGGGTATGTGCCAAAGTACACATAGAGCTGCAACTCCAGCGACGACCTCGGAAAACCGCGGGGGTCTTCTTACCGCCCAAGAGCCAAAGTGAGTCTCCTCTGACTCGCAGACAGGGCAAGTGGAACTCGGCCACCGGCCACTCATTGAAAAGGTCATACCAGGTCCCAGTCTTCTTCCACTTCCAGCATATTTACGCTATTAAGAGTCTTATGTGTTTCGCTTTTAAAGTCAGTTTTTGTTCGCTGTCAAAATCCCTCTTTTTCGCGATGAAAATCTGTGTTTCGTTCTTAAACTCCATGTTGCGCCATGAGAGATTACCCTTGACGTTCCTGCATAAGACCCATCCCTGGGTGCATTCTTCACACTGGGCGCGCCAGGCCCGGTGGGGCTCGGAGGCACCAAGGCCCTCCAACGCTGAAAGAAGGCTTCCTGGCCAGCTGCTTAGGTGGGAAAACAACGACACCTAAGCAGCACATGAGTCAATGAATTCAAACATCCCAAGTAAAGGTTGAAAATCTATCTGAAACATTCTGAAACCACCCAAGCAAGGCAACTCTGGGCCTTGCTACGTGGGGTTTGCTACATGTGAAATGGTGATCGTCGCAGATGACCGGGCGAGGGAGTGATGGTCGCGTCCGACCTTGAACCAGTTCTTCAAGGGGTCTGGAGAGAGTGGTCAACATGGTCAAACCACCTCGCCCGGCGCGGGTCGCCCGGCGCCCACACTGAGTCACTCCTCTCAGTTTTGTTTCTTTTTTTTAGATCCTGACGACCCGCACCTGGTGTGCCGCTCATAGAAGCAACTTGTGTGTGTGTGTGTTAGGGGGAAATCGTAAGGCTGGGAGGTTCTTTAGGTCTCAGGCATTGCAGGATTTCTAGACAGGAAGGGCCACCTTAGCATCTTTGGATGAAACTCCCCTTCACAAGCAAGGGTTGCTAGATGTTGCTAGCTAAGCACTGGATCGGCGTGGTGATCTTTTTTGTTTCTGTTTTCCCCCTTGCGCAGCACCTGGATCAATACATACCAAGATGGAAGTGGAGGCCATGGCCACCATGGCCCAGGAGATAAAAGAATGTGTTACGAAATGGGGAGGAAGGAAGGAAGGAAGGAAGGAAGGAAGGGCCATTGTTGCCAGTGAGTGGATCACCTGCCCAAGCTCTTTGGGGAAACTTGGGGGAACTCCAAAAGCAAAAGTCGGTCTCCATAGAGTCCCCTTCCCAACTGGATGGTGTTCGGCTCTCGGTCCGGCTCGCGCACCTGTTGGCCCTCGTCAAAGGCCCTCAAGGCCTCAGAGTTCGAGAAGCTTCGGTCTCCATCCCAGGTCTATGTATGGCATATGTCTAATATAATATTAATAATATAGTCCCCCAATAGAGAGCACGGTGTCCAAGACATGTTCTGCGTGGGGATCTACGTTTCTATCTATTTAGGGGGTCTAGATATGCCGATCAATTGACCCCTTTTCAACCACCCCTGGCCTGATCGGCAGATATGGCAGTGTAACCCATAATGGGTCGTGTCTGGGTATGGGTCGTGTAACTATGTGTAACTCATACTTCGGGAGAACCGAACCACGGGCGTTTCCGACATCCACCTTTTTCTGGCTAAGCCAGGCGAGAGAGGGCGATCGGGTGTTGTATCCGAAAGCGGGTGGATGGATGAAACGGCTCAATTTGGTCACTAGGTTTGGGGGATGCTGAGGTTGGTCACCGTTCCAGATTTGGGGGGGGCGCTGGAGGCTTGGAGATATGGTTGAAACTGGCCAAATGGGCGGACTGGGCTGGTGTGGGTTGGTGCGGGAACTCTGAGTGAAATCCAACGAATGACGGGAATGAAATCAACACAACTGCTGCACGTTCGCGTCCGAATACAAAGAATACGTTCGGTCGGCTTAAACGATAGGTTGGGCCGAACCCCCAAGGGTGGTTCTAGTCGATAGCAACTGCCCAAACCGTTGAATCCCATGCACCGGATGGAGGGTGCAGTGGTTCAAACCGCCCGAACGAGCTTTGCAAAGCAGTGATGTGTGGGTGTACCTATGGGTGCATCGATGTTGAATAGACAAACCTGCAGACATCCTGAAAAATATATTAGACAAAAAGAAGAAAGAACTCACTGGACGATTGAAACGCACTCGAGACCATGTCAAGGACTTGACCACCAGATTTTCCGACCCGCGTGATGTTCTTTGCAGCTGCACAACCTGGACAGCCCGTGGCGTCCTGGACATGTCCCAAGTTGGAGAAGTCTGACGACCCTAGCGTACGAGGTCGAGACATGTAGAGACGGGCGTTGAAAATGGATGGCCCATCCATATCACGAGCCGTGCCACACAAGCCTGGCCTCACAAGCCTGGCAGGTCACACGGCATGAGGCTTCAAAGCCTGGCCATTTCTCCTCCCTCGGCCTCTGAAAGCTGGGAGTTCCGGGCTTGAAGCACTGCAAGCTCCACCTGTCGATGTTCCAACGACCGAGCCAACGGTGTTTGAACCTCCGTGTGCCGGACCTGGGAGAAGCGCGTAATCAAGCAGCCGGATTTGTGAGAAACTCAGATCCATCAAGCATTCCAAAAGGGTGAAGCAAGAATAAGACCTACTGGCCAGCCATTCACAAAAAAATCCCTGAAAGCATCCCTCTGGCTGCAATACGTCCTAATACTCAGACTTGATAAGGAGACGACATGTCTCAACATGTCGTCTCGATCCTGTCCCGTTGGAGTGGGCTCGTGGAACTGAGTTCATACATCACCCAGCGATGAGAATGTTCTCGTGGAAAATCGTTGGTTTGGCAGAACCTTTTGGGGCACATTCCTGCAGATCGGGAAACAGATCCAAATAGATCAACCGAAGACATATACTCTCCCTCGAACTAACATGGAAGTGGAAAAACCCGGCCCAGTTTGGTATTCGGAAACTGGTCTTCCAAGGGGTGCCCTGTTCCGCTTCGGTGTTAGTTAAAGGGCTCGCGACCCAACCGGCCTGCACAGCGTGTCCTGACAGCAACAGGCGGTTCTGATGCATCAACACAACACTGTTAGTGTCACCAACCCAAACGTTGGATGTCAATACCAACCTCTGAAACTCTACCGCTCCAACTTAAAACATCTTCAAACAATAGGCCTAGAGGCACCGCACGACGGGCTGCTTCACCACATGAAACCCAAGCGACCGACCCTGCGGACGGCCGGCGGGTCCGGTCCTTTGGGCTCTGAAGGCAGCTCCACCGCCTCGGCCGGGCGCGACGGCGGCGCGGTGCTGGCGAAACGGCGAAGGAAAGGCCCCAACCGTTCGGTGCTGAATCTCTCTTCTGCGAAAGGAAAGGGAATCCTCCAGACGTGACGGCGTTTCGACGCGTCTTCCGGACGTCCCAAATGATCGGAGACGGATGCTCGGCGACCATGGTCGACCCACAACATGGACCCAGTGGGCCCGTGGCTGAATTTATATGCTTTTCTTTCAGCAACCAGCGTCTTCCGGAGTCTTATGGGACTCGTTTGTTGGTTTGAGATCTTGTACCAACCCTTCTCAAATCAATCACAAAAGAAGACCACCCAACCCTTTGTGTATGTGAAGTCCACCCAACCCTTTGAGAAGTCCGATGTTGTTCACTCTTCAAAGCATGCAACCCGGCTTCGCAACCCGTGTTTGCAAGCTCAGCAGCTGAAGCACCAAAGGCTGCAGGCAGTCCGCTCTTACCTCAGAGGCTGGGGGAGGCTGGTTCCGCTCTACCGGCAGGGTTTCTCTACCTGGACCATCCAAGGGTTGTGAAATGGGTAGGGTAGGGCACCCCTTGGATGGTCCCGGTTTCCTGGTATGTGTCTCTCAAATGTTGTACATAGGGCCACTCACAACTTTGACCCTGGGACCGTAAACCGGATCCGCGCTTGTGCGAATCCCTCAGGTGAAATTCTCTCCGAACATCTCGAAGACCATAGCAAAACCTTGGGAAAACTCATGTCATCTCAGTGTTTTTAAAGCCAGGCCAAACCCCCTTGGGCCTCGCTGTTGCGACCAACCCGCTTTTTGGCCGTGACCGATGGTCTTTGTCCAGGCAGACGAGTGGCTGAGGGCGTCTGCCAGGGCTCTGTGCGTCTCCTGGCCAGACGGTCGGCAGGATTTGCACTCTGTGGCCGTTCAGGAAGTTGAATGTTGCTAAATAATGATGCTTTTTCTCAGTGCAACATTCATGATTTAACAAGTATATAATGTTGCATGTTGACCGAGGTGCATGCTTCATCAAGTCAAGCTGCAGGCTTGGTGATACACAAGTAATCTTGCATCCGGTGCCGCTCATCTGCATCGTCTGGTCTTGGAAACTCGATTTCGACGGGCACCGGGAATGCCAAGATCCGCGAACGAACCAGCGGATGACCCGCATGACGACCTCTCGCCTGCAGACCATGAAACTTCAAATACTCTTGGATGGTTTCTGCCTCAAGCGCGAGGTTCTGGGGAATCAACTGGAAGGCTTGGCATCTATCCAGTTTGTTTCTGATGAAGTGGGCAAAATGCGAAGCCAAAGTTGTTGGAGCGCAGCAGGCTGCCCTCATATGCCCTCATGGTGGGATACCACTCCACAACAAACTAATTGGAGGGTGCTGTAGCCCGGAAACACCACCACAGGTTTGATGACCAAAATAGTGCTGGTTTGTTTCCCCGATCACCCAGGGTCCTCATCTCATCATCTCGCTGCAACTGGTTCAGACGACTTGGACTGTAAACGGGATGACCAAAGAAAGAAACACCCAGCAAACGAGTCCAAGACCTTTCTTAAATCCAACCTGGGTGAGGCTTCACCCCAAAAAAGGTGCCAAGAACAGCTACTAACAACGCCACATCCCACAGGGACCAGCCGGTGCAAAGGCACCCTCCATCCGATGCTCGACCGTGTCATGGAAAGGATGGCCTTTATGATCGGCTGATTTATGAAGGAAGAACACACATTGATCGGCTTTTCCATGTTTAGCTCAGGAACACTGGAGGGTACATCAACATCCTCCATGCTCTTCCAAGTATTTCTCCCTGAAGAAAAGGAGACAGCAGGGAGCCCAGATAAAGTCAGCCCAACTCTTCTTCCGGATCGGCTTTCGGCTTCCGCACCACCAGAAGCTCACAGAAAGAGCCACCGTAATTGCCTAGGATTGGGTGGAAAAAAAAGTTCTGGTTTGCAAGCCGAAAATGATCAACGACTCTAGCGAAACTTGAAGAGGTATCTGATTGATGATGCAGGACATGTTGTCATCAACAGCTGGACAATACCGAGTAGACCAATACCTCTACAATCACCCATGCCAGTCCACTGTGACTTCAGGGTTCCTCACAGGGGGGGCCAAATGAGCGCAGGCATGGCGATGCCAAGGTTTTTCACGGGTATTCATGTGATGATGAGTTTAGCTCATCAATGGTCCGAGGGCGCTCTAGAATCTCTTAGAATGTCTTAACAAAACAAGTTGGAATTGATCAGATTTGCAGGGAATCGTTAAAAGCCGTGCCATTGAATCTGCGGTTGGTCATTTTGGAGTTGCCGTGTTCTGACACATACCCAGCCTCCATGCCTCAATTCTTCAGAGCAGCATGTGGAGCTTATGAAGACCCTTCGGCCCCGCAAAAACCCAGTCATCACACTGGCGAATTACCATGTAGCGAATTGTAATGACCCCTTCTCGCAGCCTGAACCCCCCAAATTGTTCCCCTTTCGAACCTTTTTTTGTCGACACCTTTGGCACCAAGCAGCCGTCCCGAAACACGGGCTGCGCAGGTGTTAGCATCCAAGTCTGGGCGGAAACGGGAGGTTCGACAACTCCAAAAAACCCTGCGGGGTCTAAAGAACAATGGGTGACCCCTGTTTTTTCCTTGCAAAATCAGGGTGAACCAAACTTTCCACCTGTTTGTTTCCATGTGAAAACCAATCCTCAAAAGGGGTTGGGCCGGTTATCCACTGACTCGGAAAGATTGCATTTGGGCAGGGCCAGAAAGCAAAGGCTTACACTAATTTTCGCCCAAGTTTCTGGGCACAAAATCATTCGTCTTCAAATGCAGCTCCTCTCATCTACATTTTATATGCAGCTGCATGTGCCGTTCGTTCCCTTTGCAGGTTTTGAGACAAATACCACGGACGGGCAGTCTATATTCAAACGCTTTGGATTCCTTAAAGGCTTGGAAATTTGACTGTCTAAAGTAACCCTGTTATTTTATGTGTGTCTATGTTTTATTTAACCAGGGTCCAACCATGGAGCTCGTGGTACCACTTTAACACAAATGTTGAAAGTTTGCCTTAAAAAGGAGCTTCCACAATTCTAGGTTCTAGTCTGAGCACCACCTGTGGATCAAAAGCAGTTCCAAAGACAACATCAAGATGCCAAAGCGCAACTTTCGCGTGATACCGCGATACTTCCCCCAAGTTCGCTTCCAAGGTTCACAGCTCACTGCGCCTGCCACGAAATCAGAGCACGCCAAAGACCACCACCAACTCCAAAGAACTGCGCCTGCCACGAAATCTGCATACCGAGTCTCCTGCTCCTGCCACCAAGTCTCGGCTTGAGACTGCTAAAACACGAGGAGTCCCTTGCACCTGCCGCGAAGAGTGACCACCAAATCCCAAAATGCGCACAGCACCACAACGAGAGCGCAGTCGAGTAAAGCCACCCCTTGTGTCTGCAAGTTTCAGCGAGCGTGCGCAATTGAAATGGACTTCGAAGATCTCGAGGCATGAATACACCGTGAATAGCAGCAAATTTGCCGCACTCACAGATACAAGCCCCTCAATCAGACCCCTTACCGTAAGAACCCCCTACCACACTATTCGGGGACCAGATCTTGCAGGGTCTTTGGACCTGTAGGGTCAGATCACTTGGCAAACAGCCCTTCGAAAGCCGAACAAGACTCTTACCTGCTGGTGTTCCATCAAAGCAGTTTGACTGGATGGTCTATGCAGTTCGACATCAGCTTCATCTGAGTGCTCCAGCAGCTGGAACCTCTTCTTCGGTGGGACGCAGCTCCACCTTAAAGACCCGCTGCTGAAGACAGGTCAGTCCCAAGCGGGGAGGAGGCACCCCCACCCCGTCAGTGCTCAAGTCCGAAAGGTCCCCACAAGGATCTGTTGTTTGGGAGATGACTTTTGGGGCCAAGAATAGGGCAAGAGACAAGAATGGTGCCAATGCATGGGTCGGGCTGATCCATGTTGGAAGTGTCGGACCCATCAGCCAAAGGATCCGGAGGCCAAAAGGTTGGGGCGGGGCCAATGGATGCGCTGAAGCGCTTGAAGCAGTCGAAGTTTGATGTGACGTCAATTCATATCTGTGCTGTGCTCCTTTTCGAGCATTGTCCTTCAAGCTTGGTTCAACTTGACTGCCCTCGCAAATCTAGTAAAGCAAACACCTCTGGGTAAAAACAAATCGTGCGCGGGCCTTCTTTGTGGTCAAAAAGAAGAGTGAATCGCATCCTCATCCTCAGAGATCTGATCAAGACCTTCCACACCTATAAACCTTCTAAAAACAAATTAAACACCTGTCCAAAGACTGGGTGGTTCTCCACTTCCAAGGTCAGACCGGCAAGCGCCTCTCCGGCTGCCTTTCGCCTCTCCGCCGGGTGCCCCCCGCCGCAGCTCCCGCCGCCAGGTCGGGCTCACCTGGGACTCGGGGACTCGGTGCTCCGAACGGGGAGGTGAGGTCTGAGCTTAGGGTCTGGGGGGTGTAGCCCGGTATGGAGAATCTCTTCTTCTTCTTCATCCCCCTCAAGGACTCCTTTTCTCCTGGGACACTCCTTGGGACGGAATCCTTTTCCCGCTTGGGGATCCCGTGTCCTTCAGGAGGTCTTTAGATGTTCTTTCCGCTTTGGGGGTGTGAACTTGGGGTCTCACCCCTCCCTCCCAGCAGTGGTTTCTTGTGGGTCTCGCACGGTCGATGTGGCCGTCTGACTAGGAGGGATCGCAGTGATGTGGCCACCGGAGGAGAAGTGGAACGAACACCCTTCCAATCCCCAATCCCTTTGGATTTGCTGATTTCGGAAGCGGTGAAGGTACAGTGAAACCATCTTCCCCCATGCCAAGCCCAAACCCATAGGGACAAATCCACCCTTTCTCCGCAAAACGATCCAAGGCGCTGGATTGGCTGTGCCCCGCTGAACCATCTCGCGACTCGGCCTGATGGCGGTTTCGCTTCGGACGGACTGCTCGTCCCCAAGCGAGCGGCGAATTTGGGATTTGGCTTTGCCAGATGCCATCCGCAGTTTCAGTTGAAGGATTTTCACCGGAGTCGCAGTTGGATTTGGCTTTGGATTTGCCAGATGATGGCATAATTCATGATTCATGAAGCCGGAGAAGGATGTTCTGCTTTCGGGCCAGCCATTGGGAGACAACATCAGGCGAAGACGATGTTCTCCACTTGCCCGGGTTCTCCTCTTGCTTCGGTTATTCTGGAAAAGAAGGCGTAAGTCCATGATCTCCTCCCGGTGTGCGCTGTTTCGTCTGATAAAAAGAGAAACACGAGTCACTGACTCCCGACGTGGAGCCAGCAACCCATCTTTTGCCGCTCCGTGACCGGCAGAAAAGCCAAGCTACCGGTAGCAAAGCAAAGAACCAAACGGGAGGCTGAGCCTCTTACTTCTTGCCATGCGAACATCAAGAGCTTTTGACGGCCATGGGGGTTGAGCAGCTGCTGTTGCATTCTCGCACACCTCGGCATAACAAAAGTGGAAATTCCAAGTGGCCATTTCCTGCAGCAGCGGCCACTGTGGCCGCATTCTCGTCAGCACTAAGCAGCCTCGACCAACACTTGTGGGGACCATTCTGTGCTGCAAAAATGAGGCAGTTCACCGATTTGTGCCCTCTGCATTTGTGTCAGCTCCAGCCTCTAGCAACCAGTGCGCCACTTCCAAGTGGCCATTCTTTGCTGCGAATACACAGGTGGAGCAGAGTCTGCACCTGTCCTATTGGGATCCAATGGCTGTTGAAGCGCAACTTCAACAACTCCATTCCTCTCACACATGGAGTAGTGCCTCCAAAACGGTCTCCTCAGGCTCGAAGACCCACAGCGCACTTGGTAGTCGTCTGACAGCCACGTCATCCTGTAGCTCGCCCATGTGGCAACATGTACCTTCTCCTTCTTCTCCTGCTTCTTCTCCTCCTCCTCCTTCTGCTTATCCAGTCTTCTTTGTGTTCTTCTTCTTATTATTATTATTGTTATCAGTATTATTCTTATTCTTCTTCTTCTTCTTCTCCTCTTCTCCTTCTTCTTCTTCTTCTTCTTTTTCTCCTCCTTCTTCTTCTTCATTGTTATTACTATTCTTCTCCTTCTCCTTCTCCTCCTTCTTCTTCTTCTTCTTCTCCTTCTTCTTCTTCTTCTTCGTCGTCTTCTGCTTCTCCTCCTTCTCCTCCTTCTCCTTCTCCTCGTAATTCCTCTTGTTATTCTTTTCCGTGTTTGTCTCCTTCTTTCTTGTTGTGATTCGGTGGGTCTAAAGCGAAGTTGCGCAGCTTGTAATGTTTAAACAGCGGGTGTAGGGGTGTCTGTTTTCATGATCCTGGTGCCATTACGTGTTGAAAAGTATAAGGTTTTGAAGTGCGAGCAGCAACTGAACCACAGTGATACAGTAACAAGAAAATTCAATTGACCCACCCACGTGGTGACATAGAGAAACACATGTACCGTCGAGATTCCTGCCTCCCCTCCCATGGTCTAATGGATGAAGATCTGGCCTGCAAGCACGAAGAGTCGACTGAACCTTGAGCAATATAGCTCTCCTCTTTGCTAGAGCTAGTGAGTATGGTGAGCGAAAGCAATCCAGTCCAAGGGGATCAGACTGAAGACGGGTTACAGAGTCAAAGCCATCTTTCACGCTCAATCTAACTAAACGCCAAGAGAATCATCACTTATGCATATGGTAACTAAACATCTCTAAATGTCTCGCTCCCTGACCTTGTCTGACACACGTTTCAAGACCTCCTTGTCTGGCAAAAACATTCTGTCGTCCCTCTCATTCGGTCGTAAAGTGGTCCAATGGCCACCTGTCTAAACTATACCCCGCTCGAAAGACTTGAACGGCTCCATTCCCACTTGGTACGTTTAAAAAAAGAAGAACTTTGCCAAAAAAAGGATCTTTGGGATCTGAACCAGAAGTTTTACAGATCTTTTGGCTCAAATGATGGCTCATGATCTTTGAGTAGGATGAAACATGATCTTTGTGCTGCATCAGATTCTCGACCCCGCCGGGCCTTCCGACCAGCCAGCGTTGACCCGGTGGCGGCCAGTCGCATCGTGGACCGGGTGGGCGGGTGACCAGGCGCGTGACCGGAGTTGGAAAGGGGAACGTGGGAAGAAATCTGGATCTGAGTTTAAAGTGAGTTCAGTGGGCAGGTTAGTGGGCAGGTTGGGCTTTTCCTGTTTGTGTCATCGAAAGCGAATCCGATGATTGAGTGATGTCTCGCAGGTGGTCAAAGGGAAATCAAACATCTACATCTCATGAGTTCTTTCCTTTTCTTTGATTGGTTTGGTGTTCTTTGGCTCATGATCAAAGACCAATCAGGCTCTAGTGGAAATGAGTGGGTTTCTTTTGTGGGCCTGGTTCCAGCATCAAGTTGTCAAAGCACTAATAGTAAGAGTCTGATCAAATCATCTAGTCTCAAGGACCATTGCCGTTGCTTCGCTCTGGAGGTTTCCTGCGCGGTGTTAACACCATCCCTCACCTAACGCCGCCTGGATTCCGTCAGACAAGGAGCCGGTGTCGAGGCAATGTCAAGAAGTACAAGCTTCATACCATACCCAATCCTTTCTGGTGCTCTTTAAAGGGTTCCGGTTTGAGTCCTTGTAAATTTGCAGTAGATAGAAAGAATAATATGGTACATGATCGATGCAAACTCCTAATTAGTCGATCCATGTCAGAGGGCGATCTCTTGAGGTTCAGTTGATCCTGCACCACAAATTTGCGCAACTGATCCTGCAAACCCCGAAAGCCTGCGAAGAAGAGATCGCCAAAAAACCTTCCCTATGCTTTGAAAGAAATCTTGCAAAGGGTGGGGTGCCAAGCACCACCATGCACCACCGGTGGTGCCGGTGTCCCAGGGCTTCAGTCGGTTCAGTGCTTCGCCGGGTCTCTTTTCGCTCTTTTTTGGGCTCCGCACCAAATTTCAGATGCCGAGCAGGGGACAACATGCAGATCTTTGTACACCATGAGCTGAAAGAAAGGCCAAGAAGAAAAAGTGATCAAGTGCAAGACTGGTGTCCTTTGAGGGAAAGAAGAACGAGTGACTCCAAAGGTAGGACCCAGAAACCTGCATGTTTGTTCTAATAGATGATACCCGATGTTTTGAACCTCAGGACACCATCATATACCATAGCTGGGACGTTAGAATACTGTATACAGGCCGTTTTTGTATGGAACCATAGCTATGTTCACTGGCACTTCTTTCGCCCAACTCCGTGACGGACCGTCCGGCTTCGGCCGCTTTCTGGGTGGCCTGGCGCGGGCGGGCCCAAGAGTGCTTGGAGGGTGTCCCTACTTGGAGGTAGTATTGCTGGCTGCTTTTTCAGGGCAACCAATTGGCAAATGGCATTACAGTGAACCCTAAAATTGAAAAAACAATTACAAAAATCCCGTCTTCAAGTTGTACTGGACAACCGTTCTCTCGATTTGAGGTCTCAAATAGCGGAAGTTCCTTTCTCTTGAAATTCCAAGAAACCTTTCTTCTTGAGGAAATAAGGAAGTAGTCTGCACCTCAGAATCCTTGAAGAGCTGGAGAATCACACATCATGACGAATGGGGGAGCCCGGGCTATGGATCTGAAGACGTGCTCTTCTGAAAATGGGGGGCGACCCCATATGATGGATGTTGGACTGAAAGCCTTCTTGCTGCACTATTTTCCATCAAAGCAACAAAGGATCAAAAAAAAACATCGAGCTCAGATCGAAGCCATCCCCTCCTTTTTTGGCAATAGCGCCAGGTGGTGCAGCAGATCTCTTCCAAGATCATTGGTTTGTGGTGCGCATTGCAGGTATATAGTTGTGTGCTGCATCCATGTCTGGAAGACACATACATTGGGTATATCCGTATGCCAATCTTGGGCAGCCACACAATGGAACATGGAAAAAGACAATTTTCCATTTTGCTTTCAATTGAGTGTTGATTCGCTTTGAGGTTTGCATGATAGTCTTTGTTTTAGGTATATTTTTATGTTTCTACAGTATCATGGGACTTCCTCCTTTTGTAATTTGATTGTTTATGTGTTTTCTTACCTTCTTCCTTATGTCCTTTTGTTTGTTGTTATTCCTTTCTTTGGGTTTTCTTCCTCTGGCTCTTTGTTTGGGAATGTTTTCTGTTTGTGTTTTTTAGTTTTTCCTTATTGTCTTTATATTGTTTGTTTATTTTTGGGTTTTTCTTTGGTCCTAGCCCTCTGGTTGTTTCGTGTGTGTTTCTCACCTTCTTCGTTATGTCCTTTGTTTCTTCCGTTCTTATTGGCATTCTTAATTTTACTATTTGATGGTTTATGTTTGTCTTACCTTCTTCCTTTTGTTGTTTTCCTTTGCCTTTCTTCCTTTCTTGTTGGCTTTCTTCCTGGGGTCCTTTGATGGTGTCTTTCTTCCCTTTTGTTCTTACCTTTCCTACTTCCTTCTCTCCTGACGCCTTTCTTTTTGGCCTTCTTCATGTCTTTTTGGCTTTATTGCTTTAATATTCAATATATTTTTTATCTTAAATCTTAGTCGACCACCTTCTTCGGTCTTCCTTTGGTCCTTTTTCCTTCCTTCCCTTCTCATCGGCTTTCTTCCTTGGGTCCTTTGATAATCTTTCTGATGTCTTCCGTTTTTGTTATTTTTGTTCTTACCTTCTTCCTTCTCTCCTGACTCCTTTCTTTCTCCTTTCTTGCTTTCTTTTTGGTTTTCTCCCTTTGGTCCTTTGATTGTTTTATTATTACCTTCTTCCGTCTTCATTTGTTGTCATTGTTAACATTTCTTTCTTTTTTATGTTTTGTTTTTTCCCGAAAGCACCTGCGAAGGGTTTTTCCTTAAGCACTGCTGCCTATTTCATCTTCCTTAATCTCTTTCTCTTACTTCATCTTCCCCACTCTCTCTTCCTTACTCTCTTTCTCTTACTTCATCTTCCCCACTCTCTCTTCCTGACTCTCTTTATCCTACTTCACCTTCCTTACTTCATATTCTTTACTAACTTTCTCCTACTTCACCCTCACAACATCATCATCTAATCATCACCTCATAGGTTATTAATCTCATATCATATCATATTATATCATATCAGGTTATAATATCATATCACATCACATCAATGTCATAACATATCATATCATATCATGTTTTAATATCATATCACATCACATCAATGTCAGATCATATCATCTCATATCATGTGATAAAATAATATCACATCACAACATAACATATGAAGTAGAAGTATCAGATCAACAATATCAAAGTACATCAGAAGTAGATATTGATAGGTAGGTATTGATAAGTGGGTATAGACAGGTAGGTGTAGGTAGGTAGGTGTAGATAGGTAGGTGAAGATAGGTAGGTGAAGATAGGTAGGTGTAGACATCTTCCTTAAGACACCTACCCAACTTCACCTACCCAACTTCTTCTTTATTCTTCTCTTTAGGCGGCGGGGCGGTGCGAGCAGGTCTTACGAAACGCAACCCTCTCGTGGAATCGTGGCCATCGATCGCGCGCGCGTGTGGTGAGACGCGAATCGCGTTTGTCCGTGAGCAACCCTCTGCGGAGATCGTGCGTGTCGATCGCGCGAACGTGTGGTGAAACGTACATTTTTGGTGTGCGCGGTGCGTTCCGCCATTATAATTCTGGTGACAAGGTTTTGTCGATTTTGCGTTTCCCCATTGTAATTCTGGTTTCAAGGTTTGCCCTCGAGCAACCCTCTGCGGAGATCGTGCGTGTCGAGTGCACAAACGTGTGGTGAAACGTACATTTTGTCTGAGCGCGGCTGGGCGCACCATTATAATTCTGGTCACAAGGATGTCGCCAATGTGCGGTCCGGACCGCATACTCATTGGGAAATGCGATTCCAAGGTCTGTGCCCGGTCTGTGCCCGGATCGTTCCCCCATTATAGTTCTGGTCGCAATGATGTCGTGAATGTCACCTCTGAACTTTCTACAATGCGCGCTCTGGACGTCATACTCGTTGGGAACCGCGATTTCATGGTTTGTGCTCGGATCGTTTCCCCATTGTAATTCTGGTCACAACGATGTCTCCAATGTGTGCTGTGGACTTCATACTCGTTGGGAAATGCGATTTCATGGTCTGTGCCC